GCTTTGGACTGTGGTTCTTAGATCTCAGCTCTTGAGCAGCTATGATTATAGGTATAAGCTATTAGAGCCCTGCTCCTTTTATCTGGAATTCTAGATTGTCCTGTATCCTCTGGAGTACCTGGGATTTACAGACATGTAACACCATGCCGGATTACAACCAAATACATATTGCCAGGATACGGAAACTTCATCATAAAAATTTTCTCCTACCTTTTCCCACCCCTTTTGCTAACATTATTTAAAAGGAAAGACAAGAAAAACAACCTAGCTGCTCTTTATTACTTGGTTGTATTTTTCCTTTATCCAAGATTAGGTTTATTGAATCACTGTTAATACTTAAGTTTAACTCTTGAATACTTTTGGGGCTAGGAAGGTGGCTCAGTGAGTGGTAGAGTGCTTGCCTTGCATGCATGGGGCCCTGGGTTCGATTCCTCAGCACCACATAAGCAAAAAGAAAAAAGCCGGAAGTGGCGCTGTAGCTCAAGTGGTAGAGCGCTAGCCTTGAGCTGAAGAGCTGAGGGACAGCGCCCAGGCCCAGAGTTCAGACCCCATGACTGAACCCAAAAAAAAAAACAAAACAAAAAACAATTTATTCTCTCTCGATCTCTCTCTTTTTTTTTGGTGGGGCTTGAACTCTGGGCCTGGGCGCTTAGGCTAGTGTTCTACCACTTGAGCCACAGCACCACTTCCAGTAATTCATTCTCTAGGTAAAAGTTTGTGCATCATGTGGTCCACCTCCCCTTTGTATAAAGGAGTTAAGACTTAACAAGTTGATATTACCCAAGAGCTAGATAGTTAGAAGAACTTTTTTTTTCTTTTTTCCAGTTGGGGGACTTGAACTCAGGGCCTGGGTACTGTCCTTGAGCTTTTTGCCCAAGGCTAGCAGTTTACCACTTTGCACCACAGGCCCACTTCCAGTTTTCCAGTGGACAATAGTCTGATAAGAGTCGTATGGACTTTCCTGACCAGGCTGGTTTTGAACCATTATTATCTTAGCCTCCTGAGTAGCTAGGATTAGGTGTGAGCCACTGGTATCTGGCTGGAAGACCATTTTACCCTAATGAATATTCCTTAAAGGAAGAATTGCTGAGAAGTAGTCGAGATATTCAAGGGCTAATAACTACCATAAAACCTCCTCCACATGTACTTGGTGTTAATTGTCTTAAAAGCTTAGCGCTTCCATATATACTCCTTGTACCCGAGAGTTTCTTCCCAATGTATTTCTGGTTGGGTTTTCATTTTTATCCTTTTTCACTCTGTTCTCCCCCTCCCCCTTTCTTTTTTTCCCTGGTCCTGGGCTTTGAACTTAGGGCCTGGGCTCAGTCTGTGAGCCTCTCTCTGCTCAAGGTTAGCACTCTACCACTTGAGCCACAGTGCCACTTGTTTTTTTTCTGCTTGTATGGTACTTAGGAATTGATTCCAGGGCTTAATGCATGCTAAGCAAGCACTCTACCACTAAGCCACATTCTCAGCCCAACTCTGCCTTAAAAAAAAAAAAAAAAGTCTTAAATAGGTATAAACAACCCAGTACTACTTTTTTTTTGGTGAGTCCTGGGGGCTGACCTCTGGACCTAGGTGCTATCCCTAGCTCTTTAGTTCAAGGCAAGCACACTACCACTGAGCCTTCTTCCCAGCCTCTAGTACTTCCTTCCCTTCCCTTCCTTTTTTTTGGTGGGGGTAAGGGGGGTCTGGTCGTAGGGCCTGAACTCTGGGCCTGGGCGCTGTCCCTCAGCTCTTCAGCTCAAAGCTAGCGCTCTACACTTGAGCCACAGCGCCACTTCCGGCTTTTTCTTTTGGCTTATGTGGTGCTGAGGAATGGAACCCAGGGCCTCCTGCATGCAAGGCAAGCGCTCTACCACTGACCCACCTTCCAAGCCCCAGTACTTCTTTCTTGAACCTTCAGTTCCCAGTGAACCCTTTCATCCAAAACACCTTTCCCTAGATCATCCAGCACTCTACCACTAAGCCACATTCCCAGCCATCTTTCTCCTCTCTCTCTCCTCTCTTCTCTCCTCTCCTCCCTCCTCCTTCCCCCTTCTTCCCTCCTCCCGACTCTCTCCTCTGTCTCTCCTCTCTCGTGCTGGTCTTGGGGCTTGTATTCAGGTCCTGGACTCTGTCCCTGTGCTATATTGCTCAATGCTAGAGGTCTACCATTTGAACCATAGTTCCACTTTAGTGTTCTACTTAAGCTTTTTTAGTGGTTGATTGGAAATAGTACTCATTTTTTTCTATCCACACAATAGGCTTGACCCTGTTTATTAACACAAATCAGAATGGTATGGTCCTATGGGAAAAGCCAATTTTAAGAGCAGTTGCAGTTGTTTTTTTTAAATGATACAACTTAAAATTTTGTGAAATAACATTTGATTCAGTTCAAAATGGGAGCTAAATCTTGGTGGCTACCTTGTATCAGTATAGTTTACTAAATTCCTAAATCACCTTTCCCTCAGAGCCCAACTGAGTTAAGTACTGTAGCTTATGCCTGTAATCCTAGCTTCCTGGGAGCCACTCAAGGCAGACAAATCTGTGAGACTCTTAAACATATGAGCTAATAGCTGGGAGTGGAGATGTGGCTCAAGTGGTAGAGCTCCAGCCATGAGTTGTTTGGGGAAAACTGAGGGAGAACATTGGCCCATAGAGTTCAAGCCCTTGTACAGCACCAAAAAGTAGGTCACCTATTTGAAGCTGACAGACCTGTAGCCAGGTTAGGTGAGTGGAAAACTTGACAGGACAGCCATAGATTTGAGTTTTAAGAGTGAACTAAGGAGCCAGGTGCTGTTGGCTCACGCCTATAATCCTAGTTACTCAGGAGGCTGAGATCTGAAGATCATGGTTCAAAGCCAGCCTGGGCAAGGAAAGTTAAGGAGATTTTTTTTTTGGTCGGTCATGGGGCTTGAACTGTGGGGCCTGGGCACTGTCCCTCAGCTCAAGGTGAGCGCTCTACCACTTGAGCTACAACACCGTTTCCGGTTTTCTGGTAGTTTATTGGAGATGGTCTTTCCTGCCTAGGCTGGCTTTCAACCATGATCCTCAGATCTCAGCCTCCTGAGTAGCTAGGGTAACAGGTGTGAGCCCCCGGTGCCTGGCTTAGGAGACTCTATCTCCACTTAACCACCAAAAAACTGGAAGTGGTGCTGTGGCTTGAGTGGTAGAGAGCTAGCCTTGAGCTGAGGGACAGAGCACGGGCCCAGAGTTCAAGCCCAAAACTGACCCCCTGCCCCTCCAAAAAAAAAGAACTAAGGGGCTGAAGGTATTGTTAAGTGCTTGCTTTGGGGGGGGGGGGGGGGAGATTGTGGTTGGGAATGTGGCTTAGTGGTAGAGTGCTTGCTTAGCATGCATAAAGCCTTGAGTTTGATTCCTCAGTACCACATACTCAGAAGCCACAAGTGGTAGAGTGCTAGTCTTGAGCAAAAGAAACTCAAGGATAGTGCTCAGGCCCTAGGACTGGTCAAAAAAAAAAAAAATCCTTGGCCCATTGTAAATGTTATTCCTTCTAACATCCCTTAACATTTAAAATTGTATAACCTTTTCTTAGTCTTCACACTGATTGATAGTTGCCCAAGGCTATTGTAGATTGAGAACTTAGAATTTCATAAGCTTTACATTCTTGAGGCTATTTCTAGATAAATGTTCCTTTCACTTCTATTTTCTGTACTACCTCTATTTTCTGTACCACCAAGCAAGAGAAGAGATAAAATGAGATGCAGAGATAAAATGAGATGCGGGGAAAGTTTGCTTTTGTGTTTTCATATCCTCCCTATAGCTGACTTTAGTGAGTGGCATTGTCTCTAGAATTCTTTTAACAGAGATTGTGAAAAAATATAGCTTGAGTCAGTGTTGTAAAGGTGCTTTTAATGTGCTTCAGAAAGCTTAGATTATTGTTAATCCAAGAAACCTTGAAATGCTGAGTGTATACTACTTCATATTTCACCAGCCTAGCTTAACGTTCCATAGGTAAGGTGCCACTGGGCACTGTTAAAACTAACATTGAGTTCTTGTTTGTTTCTGTGTTCCAGGCTTTCCTCGGAGACGGGTGGCATGGGGAGCAGCTAGAACAATGCAGACTCATCCATAAACCTTTTCTGCTGTTCACCTCCACCACCCATGATCCATCTGTGTAGTTTCTGAACAGTCAGCGATTCCAGGTTTTAAATAGTTTGTAAATTTTCAGTTTCTACACACTTTATCATCCACTCGTGATTTTTTAATTAAAGCGTTTTAATTCCTTTCTCTGTTCAGCTGTTAATGCTGAGATCATATTTAGTTTTATAAGCTTCCCCCTTTTTTTGTGGGTTTTTTTTTTGGCTCATGAATTTTTGTTTGTCATGGAAAATGTAAGAGTGGAATATTAATACATTTCAGTTTAGTTCTGTAATGTCAGGAATTTTTCAAAAAAATATTAAAAGATGGACTGGAGCTTTTTCTTTGTGAATAGAAACTGGATGCCACAGTGATTCATGTGGGTTTGATTCCTGTTGTCTTGCTGTTATTTTTGTAACTTTTATTCCTCTCAGGCCCCGGACTGGGTTTTGTATAGAAGACTTCTGATTTAAGATATTTTCATCTATTCTGCCACTCCATATTTTTTATTGGTCCATAATCTTCTTTTCCATAAGCCAGTACTTGGTTGACCCTTTGACTTAACTGGCAGGCATTCCTGGACAGTGGAAGAGATTGAACTTGTATGACATATCGCTCACTATCTGATCAGGACTTAGCTTCTTGGGGATGTCAGTCCCTTTGTTCACATCTGCATACTTTTAAAACTTAAGTGTCTTGTTCTAATGGTACATCTGCAGTCCTTTCTTGACAACTATTTAGGATCTACTGGAATCATGTAGTAGTGTGCCTACTACTGTATGTGTCAAAACTTTTAGACTAGTAGTTGGATTAGAATAGTAGTTGGGTTAAACTAGCAGTTGAGTAACACATGAACTCGGGAAAGGCAGAAAGTAATAACCATGTATTATACCCCATTCACCAAAAAAACTGTCAACAGATGGGCCTGCACGGAGTGGTTATATTTCAAGGTTGTTCACGGGGTTACAATGACAGTCCCTACCCCAATCAGGCACCAGGATAAAAGCAGGGACTTCAAACAGCACCCTAATTCTTCAGCCTGAGCCATTACATGCTTTCATTTTCCTAACTTTCCCTGGTCCCTGAGCTGGGGCTTGGGCAGAGATATGGAGAGACAAAGAAATAAGTTACATTGCCACCTGAGAAACCTCAGAGGGGAGGACCCAGCCTTAGTTTCCCTCCTCCCAAGTGCAAAAATGTGTAAACAGAGCAAACGGAAAACAGAAAAGTGCAGTCTAAATGATTCACTTCTGTCCCACCAGTGTTTGCAGACAGAGGGTGTAGAGACAAGCCTGGCTCTTCTATTGCCTATTTGCTTGCTGAACATGAGGAATGGGGTAGAAAGCAAGAAGGGTCCAGTATCCCTTTATGCACAGTTCTAGGGTAGTAGTTGTTTCCACAGCTGCCAGTGTCCCTAGAGTTTATCAGGTAAATTGGTCAGGAGAGCCTCCTTCAAGCCTAACTTAAGGCTGGGACAGCCCCCATCTTTCTCTGTTGATTATGTGGCGCATATATATTACTTATATAAATATTTTTCTATGTACAAGGAATAAGAGTGGCTTTCATGGAGGGAGGGAAGCTGGGGGCCGCAAGGCATCAATGCTGTTGGAGTTGTCCAATTCAGTGCTGTCACAGTCTGAGTCCTCAGAATTAGGAGGGCCCTGTGAAGAAAAGTAGAAATGCAGTGAGGTGGAGTGTGGCATGTCGTGACATTTCAAGGTCCCTCACTGGGACTGCTTTTATTTTGAACCCTGTTTGCAGTTCTGGCTGTTCTCTAATACACCAGGCTCAAACTTATAAGATTCTTGCCTAGTTACAGTTTATCGTTTCATTGCCAAGTTAACATAAGTGCTCTGGACTATGGGAATCTCAAATTCAACCAGGTGGCTTTTTGGTAACTTTTTGGTAGGGTAGGAGACTGGCTCAGAAAAGAAGCAGCGGCCGGGCGCCGGTGGCTCACGCCTGTAATCCTAGCTACTCAGGAGGCTGAGATCTGAGGATCACTGTTCAAAGCCGGCCTGGGGAGAAAAGTCTGTGAAACTCATCTCCAATAAACTACCAGAAAACTGGAAGTGGCACTGTAGCTCAAGTGGTAGAGTGCTAGACTTGAGCTGAAGAGCTGAGGGACAGTGCTCAGGCCCAGAGTTCAAGCCCCACAACCGACTCAAAAAACAAAAACAAAAACAGCACTTGGAAAGCTGGGTGCTGGTGGCTCACACCTGTAATCCTAGCTACTCAGGAGGCTGAGATCCAGGGATAACAGTTCAAAGCCAGCCTGGATAGGAAAATTCCCATGAGAGTCTAATCTCCAATTAACCACCAGAAAACCAGAAGTGATGCTGTGGCTCAAGTGGTAGAGTGCTTGCCCTGAGCTGAGGAGCTCAGTGCCCAGGCCCAGAGTTCAAGCCCCACAACTGACACCGGCCCTGCCCCCCCCCCCCCCCCAAAAAAAAAATGAAGTGGCTTAGAGGTTAAACATGGTTCTAGCCTGTGTCTCTTGTCTCCCCAAAGCTATTAAAATCATGGAGAATCTGCTTCTAGTTTTTGCTGTCTGGTGGTTCTGGACTTACCTGCTTGCTTGTGAGTAGTTCTTGGTGTGAGAGAGGCAAGGAGCTGGGTTCAGGATCAGGGACCACCTCAGCAGCAGGTGGGTCCAGTGGGATTTCTGAGCCCTGGGAGCACATGTCATCAGACCGTTCGTCTGGTCGCTCATCAGTGTTGGTGCTACCAACTTCTGGTGTGCCACTAGGAGAAGGTTCACTAGCTGTGCCTTCCTCTCCATCTGATGGGTTCTCTGAGCTGAAGGTAGACAGTGACTGGCGCATATTCAGGCCCTGAGGCCACCTACATGTTAAGAGTAGGGGTTATGGCTTTTTTGGCAATTCATACCCCCCCAAAAAGAGACTTTGATGGCCTATACTCTTACCTCTGGGTTGAGGTCAGCTCTACTTCACTGTCTACCTCTCCTTCTTCCTCTTCTGATGAGATGCCACGTTTCTGTAGGTAAGATGAGATTGGTCAAAATGGGAAGGAGGTCAATTGGGGAGAAGGGAACCAAGTTATTTAGGGAGTGCCGTAATGATTGGACCCCAGGGCGAGCACAATAAGGGGAAAGTTCTAGAACTTCCCATTTACTTTACCTGACTTCGAGTGACTGCAGCCCTGTACAGCAGTGCAGCTGGCGTCAAGTGCTGGGACCCAGCCCGGCTTCCCCGTCCCGTTGTCCCTTCCCTTCCGGTTCCCAGCAGCCCCACACCTTCACCAGGTCCTGGTGGAGGTGGCTCTCCTTTGGCTCCCCCAGGTGAATCTGGGCTGGTGGAACCAGGAGCTGAGCCCTCACTTGGGGGAGTATCACCTCGGGCTGGAGGTGGTGAGCCAGGATCCCCAGCTCCCCCTGTGGCCCCCCGGCCCCGGGCTCCTAATGCCGCTGACAGCAGATCTGGGGAGGAAGATGACATCTTGCGGAGCAGAAGGTCATGGTGGAGCCCACGTAGGGCAGGGGGGCATGCCTCCCAGACTGAGGGTCCCACTCCTAGGCCTCCTTGTTCATGAGGTGGCACAGATGCACGAAGGCCAGGCAGGTCCCCACAGCTGCCTTTGGCGCTAGCCTTGCGGTGACGGGTCTTGCCACGGCGGCTCCGTCCTGGTGATGGGGGGCCCTTCGGACACCCAGGAAGCCCCACCCCACTTAGGGCTGCATCTAGTTTAGGTAGCAAAGATTCTGTCTTGAGGATATCTGGCCTGGTAGGAGAGGGAAAGTACAGACATTCTCTCAGCACTCCTAAAACTCAGGACATGACATTACAAGTCTCCCTCTAAGCCTCCCCATGCCGTAGTCAGCCCTCAGTCATTAATCTGCCACCCACCTTTTGCTATGGGGCGACAGCTTCTGTGGCACATTCCTCTTCTTGATGAGCTTCTCCATCGTGTTCCCATGCAAGAGACTCCGTGATGGATGTGACTTCAGTAGTCCTGGGCACCTGCGCTCTAAAGCTTGCTCCCGCCTAAAGATCCAGGCTCCGTTTCAGGTATATAACCAAGAAGGATCATGCATGTCAGGTGGCTCCATGAAGACCTGGGACTTGATATGTAAAGGCATGGGAGGGTTACCTTAGCAATTCACGCTCCTTGAGTTCTAGCTGCAGCATGAGGGCGTTCAGTTCCATGTATAAGTTGTTGGCTCTCTCCAGCTTCCGTTCATAGTGCTCCCTGATGTCCAAGGCATGTCTGAAACAGATGGGTTCCTTCATGATGAGCTGAGCTCATTTGGTGCTGTAAGCCCCGTTACTTTGGGAACCAGCAGGGCCAGTCACATTCCCAAACAGGCACACACCTGAGCTCTTCCCTCCTCCTCATCACCAGCTCTTCTTCGAGGCGGTGTAAACAGGTTCCTTCTGATTTAATCTTTTCAAAGTGCAGCTTTACCTCTTCCCGCCACTCTGCCTGGAGTTGGAGAGACATGAGGAGGGGTGAGGACCACATTCCGTCACTGGATAGACCTGTATTCTCTGGAGGAGAGTTGGAGCAGAAGGGGTGGGACACAAGACTAACCAAGGTGAGGCCTTAGACCTCACAAGAGGACTACTCTGTCCAATCCACCCTTCCCAACCTCCCCCTTACCTCCACAAAGAGGGCCAGTTAGGCATTCATTTTCCTACCCATAGCTCACCTGGGACTTAAAGTAAGTTTCCTGGGGTGTGGAGAGCACATCAGCTGAGGCAATATCTAGATGTAGCAAGATCTGTCGGAATGATGGACGATTTCGTGGTTTGCTATTCCTGCATAGAGTTGGAGAAAGGAATTTCGAGCTAGAACATCCTTTCCCCAAGTATGTTCTGGAGAATGCACTCTGCCTGTGACAATCTGATGCACTCTAAGAGATGGACCACATTAACTGTTAACATACCAAAATTCCACAGTAAGGAACCCTTTTAACCCTGTTAATCAAATAGAGTAACTCCAAAACACACTTTAAAGAAATGCTTAATGTAACAGTCTTCACTATTGCCCTTCCTACCATACCCCAGGCAGGGTTCTAAGTTATCTTTAAGCAGAATATTACAGATGTGGAAACAGGTTCTGATACCATGTGTCCAGGGTACTCAGCTCGGGAAAGTAGCATCAGCCTGATTCAGAGGCAGGTCAGCCTGTAGATTATGGGGTCAGTGCAACCTTTCAGTTCTAGGTTGCAGTCTCCTTGGTCAACATCCTAGATCCTGGGTTCTTGGAGAAAGAGGTGAGGGCCTTGATGCCCCTTTTTTTTTTTTTTTTTTTTTTGGGTCCGGTCGTGGGGCCTGAACTCTGGGCCTGGGCGCTGTCCCTCAGCTCTTCATGAGCCACAGCACCACTTCCGGTTTTTTTTTCTTTTTTGCTTATGTGGTGCTGAGGAATCGAACCCAGGGCCTCAGGCATGCAAGGCAAGCGCTCTACCACTGAGCCACCTTCCCAGCCCGATGCCCTTTTCTTTTAAGGAGTCTGGACATGGATGCCTGGATTCTAAGTACTGGGTATCACTCTGCAGCACTCCCTAGTTTCCCAAATTTGCCAGACCAGTCTCCCAAGATAGGTCACCCTTACCAGCACTGGCGAAGCAGGATTTTGAAGCCATCTGGGCAGCTGGAGGGCACAGGCAAGTGAAGACTGTTGCTTCCCACACCCCAGATGATGGCTGAGGAATCTACGTCTTTATAGGGAATCTCACCAGTTAGTAGTTCCCATAGCACCACACCAAAGGACCTGAAGATAAGAGGGGACATCACTTAAAGAGGTTCCATCCGGAGGCCCTGGTTGCGAATAACCATCTCATGTAAGCCCAAGCCCTGGAAATTTCCCCTCCCACACATTGGCTTTGCACTGTCCTCAGTCCCCAGCCTGGTGCTCACCAGATGTCAACCTTCTCAGACACAGGCTCGTTGCGGATCACCTCTGGGGCCATCCAAGCTACTGTCCCTGCAAAGGACATCTTGGTGCTCTTGTCACTCAGCTCCTTGGAAGTGCCAAAATCTGAGATCTTCACCACATCATCGTATGTGATTAACATGCTGGTAAAGAGCAGAGTCAGCTGGGGTTCATGACCCTCCACACAACATACCCCAGCTAGCTGCAACTCTGCCTGCATTTTGGTTACCACAGCCCTTTCAAGGTAGGACTGTCCCTGGGAAGAGAGGAGGACTGTATGGACATAGGACAGGGTCTGGAAGCAGGGAGATGGCCACATGGCCTTGGTAGAGCCACCACAATCGGCTTCCCTGCTTCCTTGCTTACTCACTTGGGGGATTTGAGGTCTCGGTGAATAATCTTGTGCAGATGCAGGTAGTTCATGCCACCAGCAATGCCCATGGACCAGTCAACTAGCAGGGAGGGGGTAACAGGGCGACCAGCTCGAAGCACCTCATATAACTGGCCCTGGGCGCAGAACTCCATGAGGATGCAGTAGCAGGGAGCCTGTGTACAAACACCCCTGGGTGGAACAATGAGATGAAAACTTTAGCTCAGTGCTCACTGGATGTGCACCCAGAGCCCCTAGTCCCACCCATGTCCTTTGGGGAAGATGAGGTAGGTCCCATTGCTCAGCATAATATTCCCAGCCCCTGCCCTGGACCTCACTTGAAAGTGATAATGTTGGGGTGCTTCAGTTTGCGTAGGTGCTTGATGTCAGTCTCCTTGAGGTCGCGTACCTTCTTCACAGCCACCTCTTCCCCATGGAAGCGCCCCAGAAAGACAGCACCCTGGGCCCCCGAGCCTACCCACTGCAGGTCCAAGATTTCCTCAAAGGGGACTTCCCAAAGGTCTGTGGGCAAGAGACAGCTGAACTCAAGGCCTTGTGACACACTCAAGGACAGAGACAGGACAGCATCAGGTTAGCCAAAAGAACTCAAAGGCAGAGCAGAAAGGTAACCCACATTAGTCTGAGAACTGGGAGGGAAATGATTGGGTGGCCTTAAAAGGATCTGCCTGGAGAAGTGATGCAGTTTATGGTAGAGTGCTTGTCTAACCTAGTAAAGACCTTGGTTTAGGCCAGGTGCCAGTGGCTCACACCTGTAACCCGTTACTCAGGAAGCTGAGACCTGGAGGATCGGGGTTGAAAGCTAGCCTGGGCTGTGAATCAAGGTGTAACTCAAAGCCATGAGCTAGAAAGCCAAGAAGAATGCAAGGCCTAGCTCAAGCCCTGGTATGGGAAAAACACCAAATAACCACCATAAAAACCTGGGTTTTGATCTCAAAGGTTTGAGATCAAAGGGAAAAGGGAAGAAAGCTGGGAAGTTAGGCTGACAGGTGGGTAAGGGTGTAGGGCAAGGCCATGTGGAGGGAAGGGATCACTGAGTATTCAGTGGAACTGGGGCTCAAGGAGACATAGAGGGTCTAGCCTACCTTCCTGCTGCTGCTTGTGCTCTGTGGAGTACGCTTTGCCAATCATGGTCCAGACGGGGCGCAGGCAGCCAAAGAGACCTTCAAGGAAGCCACTGCCACTCTGGCACTGCAGTCGCACCTCATCAGCTCGAACTCTAGATGCTCGGCTTTCAGGTGACCCAGTGGCTCCCCCTGGGCCACCTGAGTCCTGCTCATGCAGCTGCAGGACACTGTTGGCAAAAGGCTCAGGGGGCGGCTCTCCACCTGGGGAGGGGCTGGGCCCGCCCCCACCCTGCCCACCCAGGGGCACTACATCTCGAAGTACACATTGGGTAGGTGTCAAGTCCTTCTCAGGGGTGCAGTCCGAAGTATCTGGGTCCAGCTTGCGCATGGACGCCTCACTTAGGGTAGACACGAAGCCCCCAAAGGAAGGTGAGGGTGTCCTGGTCTCATGGAGGCAGGCCATGGCCCCTGGGCCCCCCGTGCCGTGCAGAGCTGCGGCCCCTGTTGGATAGGAAGGAGGGAGGGACCATCAGGGCACAGGAACACCAGCTCAGAGCATAGCATCAGCTCAGAGGAGCTGGGCTCATGGTAACCCCGCTGAGCAACACTTGAGCTGTTCTTGGGTGCCTGTCATGTGACACCCGAGAACACTTGGGTTTTCTCCTGTTCATCTACTAGTAATGCATATAATACTCTGGTAGACAAGGAACACACTGAACTATTAAGTCATAGTCCTGTTCAGGTGCTGGAAAAAATGTGTCTGACTCAAGTGTACAGGAGTACCTCAGTAGTATAGAACATGAGCTTGATCCCCAGCACCACACAAAGGCAGACAACCTGGGGATATGATTCAGCATAGTGCTTGCTTAGCATGTTGGAGGCACTTGGGCCCAATCCCCATGGCAAAATTCACCATCAAAACCAAAAAATCACTGGGTGCTGATGGCTCACCCCTGTAATCATAACTACTCAGGAGACTGAGTAATTAAGGATCTCAGTTCAAAGCCAGCTCAGGCAGGAAAGTCTGTGAGACTATTATCTCCAATACACTACTCAGAAAAAGCTGGAAGTGGTACTGTGGTTCAAGTGGTAGAGTGCTAGTCTTGAGCTCAAAGAGGCTCAGGGACAGTGCCCAGGCCCTGAGTTCACGCCCCAGGACCAGGGTAAAAGGAAAACAACAACAAAGCCAGTCAAGTAGTGGTAGTAACTTCTACAATAGTTATAGTTTACCCCTGCAGCCTCTGTTCCAACTGAGGCTCACAGGTTCATACAGACATCATATGAGTCACCTTTGCCTTGGCTCTTGACCTCAGGCACATAGTAGTAACAGAGAAGTAGGACCTCCTTCATGTTAAAGTGTACAGTGCTGGTAGGCCTTCTACTCCAGCACCTTTGGATGATGGCTAGGCCCCACAGTCCCAAGCATAATCACATGAAAAACCACTAAGATCCTCTTAGTGATAGCCTTATCCTGACACATCTGGACCACTCAGGTGCTCACAATACACCTCTGGGCTTCTCTAAAGCTAGTGAAGGCTCTTTATCCTCTCAGCACAGTTGACCCAAAAGGCAAAACTAGCTAATGGGGTTGCAGATCTGTGTAAGAACAAGCAATGGCCTTGTTGCCTTTCTCTCTTGAGTCCTGTCTGTCACCACCTGCTCTCCAGGTCAAGGGAAGCTCTATCTTTCATTTGCCTGGTACTGGTAATCCTAGCTACTCATGTGGCTGGATCTGAGGATTGTGGTTGCCCTGCCAGTCTGAGCAAAAAAGGCCATGAGATTATTATCTCCAATAAACCACCAAAAAGCTGAAAATACAGCCATGGCTTAAGTGATAGAGTACCAGTGTTGAGCAAAAAAGCTGAGGGATAGCCCCAAGCTCTGAGTTCAAGTTCCAGTTCTGGCACACACACACAGTACAATTATTTTCTCCCTCTATATAGTTATATATAGTTATATATATTTTGGTCAGTTGTGGCTTGAACTCTGGGCTTGGACACTGTCCCTCAGCTCTTCAGCTCAAGGCGAGAGCTCTACCACTTGAGCCTCAGTGCCACTTCCGGTTTTCTGGTAGTTTATTGGAGATAAGAGTCTCACAGATTTTTCTGCCGGGGCTGGCTTTGAACCGAGATCCTCAGATCTCAGCCTCCTGAGTAGCTAGAATTACAGGCATGAGCCACAGGTGCCTGGCTTACAACTTTTTTTTTTGCCAGTCGTGGGGCCTGAACTCTGGGCACTGTCCCTCAGCTCTTCAGCTCAAGGCTAGCTCTCTATCAGTTTAGCCACAGCGCCACTTCCAGCTTTTTCTGCTTATGTGGTGCTGAGGAATCGAACCTAGGGCCTCATGCATGCAAGGCAAGCACTCTACCACTGAGCCACCTTCCCAGCCCGACTTACAACTATTTTAAATAACAACAACAGCAAAAAGGGTAAAAGTAAAAGAACAACCATTAAAGCTGGGCACCAATGGCTCACACCTGTAATAATAGCTACTTCAGGAGGCTGAGACCACAGTTCCAGACCAACCTGGGCAGAAAAGCCCACTAAATTCCATCTCAAGTTAACCAACAAAAAGCCAGACTAGAGCCGGCGCTGGTGACTCATGCCTGTAATCCTAGCTACTCAGGAGGCTGAGATCTGAGGATCGAGGTTCAAAACCAGCCCGGGCAGGAAAGTCTGTGAAACTCTTATCTCCAATAAACCACTAGAAAACCGGAAGTGGCACTGTGGCTCAAGTGGTAGAGCACTCGCCTTGAGCTGAAGAGCTGAGGGACAGTGCCCAGGCCCAGAGTTCAAGCCCCACAACTGACAAAAAAAAAAAAAAAAAAAACCAGAGTAGGCTGGATGTTAGTAGATGACACCTGTAATCCTAGCTAATCAGAGGCTGAGCTCTAAGGATCATGGTTTGAACCCAGCCAGCAAAGTCTGTGAGACTCTATCATTTTTATTTTTTATTTTTGGTTGTGAGGTTTTGTTTTTTGTTTTTTTTTTTTTTTTTGGTTGTGGGTTTTGAACTCTGGGCCTGGGCGCTGTCCCTCAGCTCTTTAGCTCAAGGTGAGTACTCTATACCACCTGAGCCCAGTGCCACTTCTGGGTTTTTTTTGGTGGTTATTTGGAGATAAGAGTCTCACAAACATTCCTGCATGGGTTTGCTTTGAACCGTAATCCTCAGCTCTCAGCCTCCTGAGTAGCTAGGATTATAGGCGTAAACCACTGGTGCCCTGTGAGACTCTATAATTAAACACCCAAAAGCTGGAAGTAAAGCTGAGACTCAAGTGGTAGGGTACTAGCCTTGAGCACAAAAGCTCCCAGCTGGAAGCATCCAGGCCCTGAGTTCAAATCCTAGGAGACACACACACACACACACAGAGCCAAGCTGGAAGTATGGCCCGAGGTAGCACACCAGCCTACCAAGGCCCTCCTTGCATAGAGAATTGCCTTCACACACGTCACACCAAAAATCCCCACAGGAGGTCATAGATTTAATCACCAGCACCATAAACTCAGAACATAACAAGAAAAAAAAAATCTCAAACTCCAGACTTCTTTCTGATACTTACCAACTTGTGACTTCAGACAAAGTATGGTTGAGCCTTAATTTCTGCAGCTATACAAAAGGCTGGCCAGGCTGCTGTTATTCAGACCCAGCAAGCTCTCCAGCCTTTTCCAGACTGTCCAGAGCTGAACACCAAGAGTTATCCTCATTTCCTGTCTGCACATATCCTGGTTACCAAATCATGACACTTTTAGGTTTCCTGACCTGAGAAAAAGAACCCCACTAATTGTTCCTTAGGTCCTTTCTGGGCACTTGGAGCAGTCTCCTGGGAATGAGTGCCACACATTCTGAATCACAGTGGGATGGAAACAGCAGGACTGTAGCTTACACTTGCAAAAGACACAGGAAGTTTCCCTAACGATTTCCAGACCTTGCTCTTAAAGGCTTTCGTTTTTTCAGTAGGGGTGGAGTAATCTCCTGTTCTGCATTTTTAAATGTTTCAGTTGACTCTTTAAAAAATTAACATACGGGACTGGGAAGGTAGCTCAGCGGTAGAGTGCATGCCTTGCAAGCATGAGGCCCTGGGTTCGATTCCTCAGCACCACATAAACAGAAAAAGCCGGAAGTGGTGCTGTGGCTCCAGTGGTAGAGCGCTAGCCTTGAGCTGAAGAGCTGAGGGACAGCACCCAGACCCAGAGTTCAGGCCCCATGACCGGCAAAAAAATTAACATACTAGATATTAACATATATATTAACATATTTGAGATGGTGACCCAATGCAACATCTTTGTGTTAGCCCATTGTTATGGGCTATTAGTTCTCTCTTCATTGGCTGTCACCACCTGACTCAGGACAAATATTAAGATATTTATAAGATCAAAGGTCTCTTCCAATTTCCTTCCTTCTGAGCCTTCAGAAGAGTCTAAAAGCCGGGCACCAGTGGCTCATGCCTGTAATTCTAGCTACTCAGGAAGCTGAGATCTGAGGATCACGGCTCAAAGCCAGTCCAGGCAGGAAAGTCAGGAGACTCATCTCCAACTGAAGAACCGGAAGTGGCACTGTGGCTCTACTGGTTGAGTGCTAGCCTTGAGCAAAAGAGCTGAGGGGCAGTGCCTAGGCCCAGAGTTCAAGCCCCACCACCGACAAAAAATTTAAAAAGGGTCTAAGACAAATTTCCCAGCAGCCTCTGCCTCAAACCTGTCAGAGGCCTACTGCCCTTGGTCCAATAGCCCTATGTTCAGCCCCCATTGCTGGCTTCACAGAGCTTAGCCTGACACCAAGCTGCAGCAGCCTCTCTGTGTGTGTGTGTGTGTGTATGTGTGTGTGTGTGAATTGGAAATAAGTCTTATGGACTTTCCTGCCAGGACTGGCTTTGAGCCGTGACCCTCAGATCTCAGCCTCCTGAGTAGCTAGGATTACAGGCGTGAGCCACCTGCTCCCGGCTTTTTTTCTTTTTTTTTTTGTATTGAGGTTTGAACTGAGAGCCTTTCTACCACAGCTCCAACCTGGTTTTTTTGCCGGTTATCTTGGGGTAGCGGAGAATCTTGGAGATGGAGTATCCTTCCTCTTCCCCCTAATCCTCTGGATCCCAGTCTCCTGAGTAGCTAGGATTACAGAAGGGACTCACCTGTGCCTGGCTACAATGGGTAACCTATGAAAGGTTTACTAGATACTTTAGTTAGACCGAGAATGGACTATTATAAGCTCATAAGACATTGAAGTATTCACTAGCCTGCCACCCCGGCTGGGGAGAAGCTCCAGCTTTACAAACCTCAGGCTTGCTCAGCCGAGGCGGCTCTTCTCCTCCCCCTGGTCTTTCACCTGGAAGTCTTCCCTCCCGGGTTTCCCTCCTCCCGGGAGTTGGACGAGTTGGACGCGGCCTAGGCGGAGCCTCCGACACCCCCCCCCCCCCCGCCCCGTTCCTTCCGCGCCCTCCGCCGCCCGGGCCCCGCGGAGCTATTATGGGTCCCCCTGATGGGCTACGGAGACCCCAAGCCCGGAAAATCGGCGGCCACAGTGCAGGCGCCGCCTCTGAATGGCCAACAGATCCCACGAAGTGTTGGCGGCTTCCAGAGATGTCGCCTGTCATGAAGACGTCGTCAAGCACCTGCCACGCGACGAGCTAAAACCGGCGGGGAGCGGCCTGGGGCCGCGCCGGGGGCTTCCCTGCTGGACCCCCGCCCCCCCCAGCCCAGGCCGGAAGCAGCCGCGACCACGCGCCGGGCCGCCAGCCCCGGGCCCCCAAAGTCCGAGTGCGGGGAGGAAGGGGTTACAGCCACGCCGCGGCGCCCCCTTCCCCCGCGACCTTCTTCCCGGCCGTCACGCGGAGCGCGGCTGGCGGCGGGGGCCCGGCCGCGGGAGGAAGGGGGACGGGGGGGGGGGGGGGGTCCGGGTGCGGAGGGGAAGGCGGGGCGCAGGCGGGGGCAGCGCCGGGCGCTGCGGCGTAACCATGACGACGAGCCCGTGGTGGCGCGTGAAGTCACCAGGACAAGATTAGCCCGGGTCACGTGGACGCGGCGGGGCGGGGCCGATGGTTAGCCCCGCCCCCGGCCTAGCAGGAGCATGTGGCGGCTTTGGCTGGAGGCTGAGGGCGCTGCAGAGGCTGACCGCGGCCCGGCAGCCCGCCCCTTCCCTGCCGCTTCCCTCCCCTACCCCGCGTGCTACTTAGGCTCGTAAGAGAAGCGACTGGGGACAGGGAGTTGGCATTGGGGGTGCAGTGCCACAGAGAAGGAAAGTACGAGTGGACACATGAAGACGACAGGGCACGGAAAAAAGGCACAGGCGGAGGAGGGACTGGCTGGGGGACCGACAGCAACGGGAGGCAGGGCAGCACACCTGGAGGGGAGGCCGAAAAGCTGAGGATCTGAGAAAATGGAGATGGAAGGGAACAGGAAAACACGGAGCTCGAGTCCACCCCTAACTCCTTTCATCTAGAAGCTAAGCTTTGAGTAGCACAGCTCCTGACTGCGTGTGTGTCACTGGGCTTGAACTCATGGCCTGGGCTCTGACCCTGAGCTCTTTTTGCTCTACCACTTGGGCCACAGCTCCAGTTCTGACTTTTTGCTGGTTAATTTGATATAAGAATCTCATGGAATGCCGGGAACCGGTGCTCCTGTAATCCTAGTTACTCAGGAGGCTGAGATCTGAGGATCATGGTTCAAAGCCTGCCGGGGCAGGAAAGTCCCTGAGACTCTTATCTCCAATTAAACCCAGAAAGCTGGAAGTGGCACTTTGACTCAAGTGGTAGAACACTAGCCTTGAGCTGCAGAGCCCAAAGTTCAAGCCCCACAACCGACAAAAAAAAAAAAAAAAAAAATCACAGACCTTCATGCCTGGGCTAGCTTCAAACTGCAATCCTCAGCTCCCACATCTTGAGTAGCTAGAATTACAGGTAGGAGCCACCGGTGCCCAGATACAGGTGGGTTTTGTTTTTTTTTTTTTTTTTTTTGCCAGTCCTGGGGCTTGAACTCAAAGCCTGGGTGCTGTCCCTGAACTTCTTTTGCTCAAGGCTAGCACTCTACCACTTGAGCCACAGTGCCATTTCTGGCTTTTTTATGTATGTGGTACAGAGGAATCGAACCCAGGGCTTCATGCATGCTAGGCCAGCACTCTACCCCTAAGCCACATTCCCAACTACATGTGGCTTTTGTAAAGGAATTTTTAGCCCTTATCTAGTTACTCAGCAAGTAAGCTTTAGGCACAGAGAGGGTGACATGCTCACACTGGCAATCAACCTTCCTTTTAGCTCGCATGTGCTTCCCTGGAGGTAGTTCAAGTATCCAGGGCCCATGGCTGGGGAGGGAAGTTGGTAAAGACACCTATTTGCCTCTTAGGGCCATGGGAGTAAATGAAGCCACAGGACCATGGATGGGCTCAGTCTTCCCTACCCATCCTCAGCCTAATGACAACTCTTTGACTCTGACCTGAAAAAGTAGGGGGAGGGGAATGAAGCTGAGACCCCAGGGACTCTGGTAAACTGAAGACTCCTCTCTCCCAATAAACACCCTCTTACTGTCTCCTTTATTTCTGACCTGCCAGCTGTGTCCCCTGCCCCCAGATGGGTCTTGGCGCCAGGGCTGGGAGTGAATGGCATGGCTAGGAGCCCCTAGCCCAGACATTCAGTCACCCTGGGGGAGGAGGAGGGTCTCCTTGGCCATCAATTATGCAGAGGATTGGAGGCAGGGCAGGGGTGGGGTACGTGGGGTAGTATCTCCTTCACTCAGTCAACCATACTTACTAAATGTAGACTATGCATGTGTTTCAGAATGGTGACGAGACTGTGTTTGAGCCATACAACTGTCAGGGGAGGAGGCTCTGTGGATACCTGAATGGCTTTGCTGGTAGCCCTGGTGCCCACGGGGTAGAGGATGTCACTTAGTGAGCCTCCTACCTGAGATGTTGGAAGGCAGTGGCAGGTTTGGGGCCCTCAGAGGTTTAGAGCACTCTCTGACCTAGACCTCCTTTTCTACTCAGGAAGCTAAGTTCCCTTTTCTCTGAGTTACAGTAAGGAAAGGGGCTTCAGAAGAAAAACAGAGATCAAGACTTTGGGATTCTGGTTCTACCTTGAGACCCTAAGGACTGAGAAGCCAGATTGTGTCTCCTATCTCTTCACCTGCTGATTGTTTAAATTTCCCTTTGGACAGAATGCATGGTCGTGATCCTAGAGTTCTGCTATGGAAAGAATGTCAGGTTACAGCAGGTCCTGAGGAGGGTAAATGTCATCACTTGAGCCCTGGCAAAGCCCAGCTTACCTTCAATCCAGGTCCTCACTTCCTATAGGTCAAGCCTTGAGACCCCTCATGCCACACTTCCAGTAGGGTAGGCCAGGGAAGTGGAGGGGGAGCGTGGGGAGGTCTGTTTAGGTAAAAAAGAACTAGTTTTATATTTGAAGAGTAGAATGGAACTCCAAAACTGCCATCTCTGGTTAAGGAATGTGATCTCTCTTGGGACTCCCAATCCACCTTAAAGGGCAAGTCAGAGGGATACAGTGACCATACTTTGCCCTCCTGGCTGGACAGGATCCTAAAGAGCCATTTCTTTTGACTAACCAGAAAAGGAAGCCTTGGTCTCTGGCCTTCTGTTTCCCCAGGACTAATTCCTGTGGAGCTTGGTTGCATGGTAGTTGTTGTTCTGGAGCCCCAATTTGTCCCTGTAGGAGATCATGGTTTTTGGTTTTGTTTTTTGCAAATCCTGCCATCCTACCTCCAGTGTGGACTGTGAAGACTTGCTGTTCTGCACCTCCTTAGCCTCTGGCCAGTTTCCTTTGGGAGTCTGCTCTCCCTTAACATCCTCTCCTTGGTGGTGTGGCTGACATCCGAAGGAAAGGGGAAAGCAAGAGCAGAGTGGCGTGAGGTCATGAACTCCCTCCTGTAAGACTTCAGGTAGACTTAGAAGAAGCTGAGTATATGCTCCAGAGCTGAATGTGCATTTAAAAAAAAGAATCTGAGGGGCTGGGAAGGTGGCTCAGTCGTAGAGTGCTTGCCTTGCATGCATGAGGCCCTGGGTTTGATCCCTCAGCACCACATAAGTGGAAAAATCTGGAAGTGGTGCTGTGGCTCAAGTGGTAGAGCACTAGGCTTGAGCTGCAGAGCTGAGGGACAGCGCCCAGGCCCAGAGTTCAGGTCCCACGACTGGCAAAAAAAAGAATCTGAATGGAGCTAGGTATAGTGGCTTATGCCTATAATCCCAGCTACTTGGGAGGCAGTGATTAGAAGGATTGAAGTTTAGGGGCTGTGACGGTGGCTCAGTGGTAGAGCACTTGCCTTGCATGCCTGAGGCCCTGGGTTCGATTCCTCAGCACCACATAAGCAAAAAGAAAAAAGCCAGAAGAGGCGCTGTGGCTCAAGTGGTAGAGCGCTAGCCTTGAGCTGAAGAGCTGAGGGACAGCGCCCAGGTCCAGAGTTCAGGCCCCACAACTGGACCCAAAAAAAAAAAAAAAAGAAGGATAGAAGTTCAGGAGCAACTAGAACAAAATGTTCATGAGAGACTATCTCAGCAAACATGCTGGTGTGGTGGCTGTCAGCCCAGCTACTTGGTAGGATTTCTGTCCAAGGCTACCCTAGGCAAAACCAAGACCCTGTCCAAAAAACAGCTAAAGCAAAAAAGGGATGGAGACATGACTTAAGTCCAAGGTCCTGAATTCAAACCTCAGTATTGCCAAAAGAAAATCTGCAAGGAGCTGGAAGCAGTGATGCACGTCTATAATTCCAATAGTCAAGAGACTGAGGCTAACCTGGGCTATGTAGCAAATCTCTGTCTCAACAACAGCAACAACAAAAAATCTGAAAGGTCAAGTACTAAAGTGTAGCCATGTCTAGGCAGGTGAAATTTAAGTGTGTGTGTGTTGGAGGAGGTTAACATGTATTTTTAGTATTTAAGTAATGACTTTGAATTGCTTATTTCTTTATGTATTTATGTATGTATTTCAGTTGTGGGGCTTGAACTTGGCATGGGCACTGTTCCTGAGCCTCTTTGGGCTCAAGGCTAGTGCTCTACCACTTGAGCCATAGTGCCACTTCCAGTTTTCTGGTGGTTAACTAGAGAGTTTCCTGGGGATTTTTCTGCCCAGACAGGCTTTGAACCTCGATTCTCAGATCTCTGAGTAGCTAGGATTACAGATGTGAGCCACCAGTGCCTGGCTTATTTAAGTATGTATGTATGTATGTATGTATGTACCTATGTATGTGTGTATGTATTTTAGTCATTGGGATTTGAGTTCAGAGTCTAGGCACTGTCCCTGAGATCTTTTTTTTTTTTGGAGGGGGGTCTGGTCGTGGGGCCTGAGCTCTGGGCCTGGGCGCTGTCCCTCAGCTCTTCAGCTCAAGGCTAGTGCTCTACCACTTGAGCTACAGCGCCACTTCCGGCTTTTTTCTTTTTGCTTATGTGGTGCTGAGGAATCGAACCCAGAGCCTCAGGCATGCAAGGCAAGCGCTCTACCACTGAGTCATCTTCCCAGCCCCAATCCCTGAGATCTTTTGCTCATGGCTAGTGTTCTACTACTTTGAGCCACAGTGATACTTCTGGTTTTCTGGTGACTAATTGGAGATAAGAGTCTCAAGGACTTTCTTGCCCCCTCTGGCTTTGAACTTCAAATCTCAGATCTCAGCCTTCTGAGTAGTTAGGCTTACAGATGTGAGCCTCCAGCACCCATCTGAATTGCTTTTAAAATAATGTAAATTTTATTTTTGTGTATTCAGTACTGCTTGAACTCAGTACTGCTTGCATTCTCATTGTGCTTGCTTGCTCACAGCTAGTGCTCTACTACTTGAGTCTTGTCTCTACTCCTGTATTTTATTGGTTATTTTGAAGTCTTATGGACTATTCTGTTCTTCCTGCTTTGAGCCACAATTCTCTCCCCTTAGCCTTTTGAGCAGGTGTAAGCCACCAGATCCTGGTTTAAAATCTTTTTAAAAATTTTTTTAAAATTAAGAAAAAATTTTTTTTGCCAGTCCTGGGGATTGAACTCAGGTCCTGGGCACTGTCCCTGAGCTTCTTTTGCTCAAGGCTAGTGCTCTACCTCTTTTTTTTTTTTTGCGGGGGTAGGGGGGATCTGGTCGTGGGGCCTGAACTCTAGGCCTCGGCACTGTCCCTCAGCTCTTTAGCTCAAGGCTAGGGCTCTACTACTTGAGCCACAGCGCCACTTCCGGCTTTTTTCTTTTTGCTTATGTGGTGCTGAGGAATTGAACCCAGGGCCTCAGGCATGCAAGGCAAGTGCTCTACCACTGAGCCACCTTCCCTGCTAAGAAAAACATATTTTTAGTTTAATTTTATTTATCTTATTTGTGCAGCTACTAGGGCTTGAACTAAGGCCTCCCACTCTCCTTTAGCTTTTTTTGTTCAAACCTGGTGCTCTATCACTTGAGCCACAGCTCCATTTCTGGTTATTGGGTGGTTAATTGGAAATAAAAAGTTTTAAGGACTTGTCTGTGTAGGCTGGCTTTGAACAGGGATCTTCAAACTTCAGCCTCCAGTAGGATTATAGGATTATAGACACGTGAGCCTCCAATGCCCAGCCACTTCTGCCTTTTTGCTGGCAAACTGAAGAGTCTTTGAAATTTGTTGGCCTGGCTAGGCTACTAATGGAACTCCTCCTATCTCAGCCTCTTGAATAGTTAAGTTTGCAGGCAGTACTTGGCTTAAAAATCTAAGACTGTCACCACACTTACCTTTTTCTTTTTTTTTTTTTTGTCGGTCATGGGGCTTGAACTCTGGGCCTGGGCGCTGTCCCTCAGCTCTTCAGCTCAAGGCTAGTGCTCTACCACTTGAGCTACAGCTCCACTTCCGGTTTTCTGGTAGTTTATTGGAGATAAGAGTTTCATGGATTTTCCTGCCCTGGCTGGCTTTGAACTGTGATCCTCAGATCTCAGCCTCCTGAGTAGCTAGGATTACAGGCGTGAGCCACCACTGATGCCAAGCTACCACACTTATCTTTAAAAAAAAATTTTTTTGGGGTCAGTTCTGGAGCTTGAACTCAGGGCCTGGGCACTGTTCTTGAACTCTTTTTGTTGGTCGTGGGGCTTGAACTCTAGGCCTGGGCACTGTCCCTCAGCTCTTTTGTTCAAGGCTAGCGCTCTACCACTCTGAGCCACAGCTCCACTTTTGGTTTTTAAGTGGCTAACTAGAGATAAAAGTCTTATGGGAACTTCTCTGCCCAGACATGATCCTCAGATTTCAACCTCCTGAATAGCTAGGATTACAGGAGTGAGCCACTGGTGCCCAGCTTTTTTTTTTTTTTTTTGGGTCTGGTCATGGGGCCTAAACTCTGGGCCTGGGCGCTGTCCCTCAGCTCTTCAGCTCAAGGCTAGCGCTCTACCACTTGAGCCACAGTACCACTTCCAGCTTTTTTCTTTTTGCTTATGTGGTGCTGAGGAATCGAACCCAGGGCCTCATGCATGCAAGACAAGCACTCTACCACTGAGCCACCTTCCTAGCCCCAAGTGCCCAGCTTTTAAAATCTATTTTAAATTAAAACAAAGTTTATGGAGAGAGTAAGTATGGCTTAGGACAGCTATACTGTTACTTCACCTCCAAATAGGGATAGTGGTACCTGTGTCATGCACTGGAAGTTTAATATAGTGTTTAAGAACATAGACGGGGTGGGACAGACCTGAGTTCAAATCCTAGCTCTTGCCATATACCTTCTTTTGGATTGGGTTTTGGTTTTGGTGTCAGGATCTTGCTATGTGTCCCAGGTTGTTCTTGAACTCTGGATATTCCTGCCTTATCTTCAGTTCATGATTATCAGCATGCATTGCTATGGTTGGCTAGCATTTTGGCTTTATATACTTAAGTTTCCATTTCCTCATGCCTAATGGTAAGATGATGAGAATACTGTCAACTTAATCTAGTGAGCATGACTGAGTTCTAGGCTCAGTACAGGAAGAGCTCTATAAACAGCAGCTGTGTGGTATTCAGCCTGCAGTTGTAGAGGTTTTTTTTTTTTTTTTCTTTTGTGTGGTAGTAATTGGGATTGAGTTCAGGACCTGCGTGCTGTCCCTTAAGATTTTTCACTCAAGGCTGGTGCTCTCCTACTTTAGACACAGCTTCACTTCTGGCTTCTTGGTGTTAAATAGAGATAAGAGTTTCATGGATTTTCCTGTCCGGGCTGGCTTGGAATGGTGATCCTCAGATCTCAGCCTCCTAAGTAGCTAGAATTACATGCCTGAACTACCATTACTTGGCTAAGCTGTAATTTTAAAAGACTTTTGTTGTTGTTGTTGGTGGTGGTGGTTGTGGTACTTAAACTCAGGACCTAAGGGGTGCTGTCCCTTAGCTCTTCTGCTCAAGTCTAGCACTGTACCACTTTGAGCCATAGCTCCACTTCCAATTTTTGAGTGGTTAATTGGAGGTAAGAGTCTCACAGACTTTCCTTGCCTGGGCTAGCTTTGAACTGCAATCCTCAGATCTCAGCCTCCTGAGTAGTTAGGATTACAGGCATGAGCCACTGGCACCTGGCTCTGAGCTTCTTTTTTGGTCAAGGCTAGCACTCTACCACTTGAGCCATAGCACCACTTTTGGCTTTTTCTGTGTATGTGGTACGGAGGAATTGAATCCAGGGCTTCATGCGTGCTAGGCAAGCACTCTACCACTAAGCCACATTCCCAGCCCCAATTTGTAATTTTAATAAATGTGATTTCCTTCCTTCCTTTTACTCCTCAAAATGAGAGGCTCTGAAGAAGGAACAGGTGGATGGAAAGGGAGGTAGCAGAAATAAAAAGAGGGAAATAGGAGAGCAAATAAATACGAGTCAGAAGATCAAGTGCTCTCTCCCTGGAAGACCTGTCCTGTCCTCTCGGGGCCTACAGGACCCCAGGCCTTCCGCTATGTTCTTGCAGCCTCCATATCCCAGGCTGGCACAGCCTCAGCCCTATCCCCACTCTGCCCCAGAAGGCACTCCTGAATGCAAGACTTTGATATCTTTCTTCTTTCCCAGCACAGGCTGGGGAAAGATAAGACTGGGTGCTCGGATTTAGAGTCCTCTTTCTGGCATTGCCAGACTCTACTGCACTATGATCTGGGAAAGGATGGTTGAACAAATGCCACAATCACTTATAAGGCAACATAGGAAATCCTGAGCCACTATCTTACACTTTTACCTTCTGTGGCCATCACTGGGTTTCATGAAGAAATGGCCACTTGGCAATGTGCTTAGGCTTTGAGGTCTTCCTTGCGTGGTTGTCAGGTAAACATGGATGTGAATGGATGAAGGGTAACCTAAGGTACCTGCACCTTTCCCCCCCCTTCCCCCCAAGTGTGATAGGAAAATGCAGAGCCTCTGAGCTCAGAGAAACTTAGGTCTGGACAGGAATGTGGCTCAGGGGCATTGAGGCCTTTTCTTTGCAGAATCCCTTCTGCTGGCCTTAGCTTGGTATAATCCTCCAGCTGACAGGCTGAAAACTAGAGCTCCTAAAGGGACGGAGGCAGCCCTGAGAGTTACTTTGAAGGGAAATGATGTTCAGAGGGAGGTGCTGACTGTGGCTTGCGGGGACTCAGCCTGGCTGAGACCTCACAAGTATTCCATTCCTGGTTGAAGGCCCTAGAGGTAGGAGACAAGAAGGCTAAACATTCTGACTCCTCCCTATATTCTTTGGTTATAGTGAGGACACAAGATACTTCCACTATCTGTGCAGGGGCGTGTGTGTGTGTGTGTGTGTGTGTGTGTGTGTGAGAGAGAGAGAGAGAGAGACAGAGACAGACAGAGACAGACAGAGACAGAGAGACAGAGAGACAGGGTCTTGCAGATGGAGCCCAGGCTGACCTCACACTCACAATCCTCCTGCATGCTGTCTATGGAACCTTGATCCCTTCTCTTCCCATCCTTCAGTCAAGGCCATGGTTTTAAGAAGGCTCAACTCTGTAGAAAGGATTCTGCTGGGTTTTAAGCCAAGGAGTTGAAGGAGGGTGTGAGAAGGGGGGAGGTTCTTGGAGACTTGACCTGGGAAATGGGCTGGGGGGAGCCAGGGGAGAGAGAAGAGAGGAGGAAGAAAGCCACACACCAATGGGGGGAGGGGTACAATAGCTGAGTGGACGGCATGCCACAGCTGGAGGGGATTAAGGACATCACTGATGGAAGGGGAGGGGGCCGCCAGGGCATTCTGGAACAGGTAGCTGCCTGGAATCTTCAGGTGGAGCCTGCTAGGTGTCAATGAGGGGAGGGGGAGGAGGAAGGCAGCGAGTACAGCGGGCCTTGCCCTTCTCCCCTTCCTCAGAGTGGGCCACAACTCTCCCATCTCTGTCCCTCATCCCTGTCTTAAGGGTGAGAGAAGGTTCTCTCACTCGCCGTCCTTTAGGTCTGTCCCCAGGCACCCCCACCCCCACGCGTCCATCACAACTCTGGAGGCCCTTCGTCTCCGAGCTGGGCCGCGGCATCCCTCAGCTCGGTTCTCCTCCCCATCTCCAGGCGTCGGGTCCAGATCCCCAGCTCCTCCATCCGCACAGCCTCAGCATCCCCGCGCACCGCCTCCCCCGCACCACGCCACCTCTGCCTCCCGACCCTCCCAGGCCGGCCCGGATCCCGGGACCCCAACCCATCCCTGCCCCCACCCCCCCACAACTCGGCCAGGCTCTCACCTCGGGGGCTCCGCGGCCGCAGCACAAAAGGCGGCGCTGCTGCAGCTCCGCTCCGGATGCTGCTCCCGCCTCCTCCTCCTCCTTCTCCTCCTCCTTCCCTCCTCCCCGCGCTGCCCTCCGCCGGACCCGGGGCGCCGTCACAGGCGAGGCTCGCGCGGTGGGCAGGTGCACGGGTGTCAGCCCCAGCCTCCTGCCCCCACCCCCGACTTCTAGCCCCGTCCCCACTCGGCTTGAACTCCCGCTCCTACCGAGGCCCCCGCCCCAGGCCCCCCGGGACGGACACGCCCTGAGCGGGGGATGCTGCGCTGGAGCCGCCGGCCTCTTAAAGGAGCCTGCTGCTGCCATCCGGCGTGATCCGGGCAGGTCCCTGGCCCGCCCGGGCCCCGCGCCTCGTCGCGGACCTAGGGCGGTACCACTTTGGGTCTTATGCAGATTCTGCAGGAAGCCTCTATGACCCGCCTTGGAGACTCCTTGCTAGACCCCGAAGAGCGCAGCCCCTCAGATATGTCGTCCTCGCTCTCTGTCATCCCCTCCCCCTGTCATACCGATCCTGCCAGCTCTGCTTCCCCGGATTGTCACCGCTCCAATTTCACCCAATTGCAATCAGCTGAGCTATAGGCCCCATCCCCCTCTAGTGTTCCTGGATGACCCCTCCTTATCATTCCAAGATTCCTCTAGACCGCCATTCCCCGCCCCTTTATAGCAGGACATCTCAGGCCCATTCTCAAAAAACACTCACTGGGATCACGTTTAGTTCTCTCCCTCTTCCTCTCCCCCAAGGTCACAAGAGTCCCCCTACATCTTTCAACCCAGTGCTTGTGAGAGACTGGGGGATGGAACAGGGGCGTGGGGTTCGAAAGCGTATATTCTGTCCTACACCTAGATTAAATCTTTTTTTTTTTTTTTGGTTCCCCAGCTAACACTCAAGACTCACAGAAGAGGGAATGATGATGCCTCAGCCCTAATTTTGATGTCCCACTACGGCCTGATTCCCAGACCCCAGAACATGACCAGTAAAAGAGATTCTGTAAGGACCTATCTAAAAGGCTTTTAGAGGGGAAGCAATTCTCGACAGGCTGAATGCACAGTTAAGGGAAAGGAAGTTGTGGCAAAGGTTCTGTGACACTGACAGCTGGGGTCACAGATTGGAGGGCTTGGAAGAGAATGTTTCGAGATCAGTTTAAACCTATAACAGCCCCAGCGCCCAGAGGTTGGGGAGCACAGGACCCCCTTTAGCGTCCTGGTAAAGGTCCACCCTCTCATACACCAGGATTCGCCAGTAGCTTCCGGAGCCAATCACAACCTTTTCTCAAGGAGGAGGCAGGAAATGGGGCGGGGCCACTCCCAGTTTCCCCGCCCCCTTTTCTAAACAACCAATCTTAACGCGTCTAGAGGACGGGGGGGGGGGCGGGGGGGGGCTAAACGTAATCAGAATAGCCAATGACACCGTGAAGCGTCCTGAGCGCTGTGGACTCCGTCCCGTCAGCTGCGAATGTGAGGGCGCAAAAGCTTCTGGGTTCTGTAGTTTTGACGGGATTCAGAAGGCTCCAGTCTCGAATTCAGCCCTTACTGCGCCGTCCCCGGGCTGCTTCTACTTCGCTAGTACGCATGTTCAGAGTCTCAGCCTCGGGGGAGAGGCAGTAGGAAGGAAAAAGGTGGGGCCACATTACAAACAGAACGAAACAAAAACTACTGGCAGCGCAGGCCGGCAGCATCCACGGAGGGACCCGCTCCTCCCAGAAGGCGGTGCAGCCGCCAGGACGAGCCCCGCAGAGGGTTGTGGGGCGGGTAGCTCCCCTCCACATGGAGGCTCGCGGAGTGGGGTGGGCGGGGGACTCCATGTCCCAGCATGCCCCGCGCTGGGCCCGACCGGCCGCGACTCCGGGCTTGGCCCCGGCCCTAGCTCATCGGCGGTGAGTGGGGCGCGTGGAGGCTGCAGTCACGGTGGCGCCCGCGGGGACGGAGGAGGGAATGAGTGAAGAGGAGCAGGGCTCCGGCACGACCACGGGCTGCGGGCTGCCCAGGTGAGCCGCCCCGTCCCGATCTCTGCCAGGGCGGAAAGCGTGGGGGCGGTGCAGCGGGGTAGCGGCGCGGCCCCAGCATGCACCTGGCCTGAGGGTTGTTCCCGGCAAGCACTGGGGTAGTGGGCAGCGGTTCCCGGCATGCACCGGGCCAGTGGCCATCGCCTCCAGCTCTAAATAGTTTGGGTTGGCTCGGTTCCCAGGTTGCACTGGAGCACTGGGCTTTATGCCCCGCCTATCCAGTGCATTTGGTGGGTACTGGGTTCCTGGTTTGCACTGTGCCAGGGAGCACGCACTTCCAACCAGCACTGGGGCACAGGGTGTCTCTCACCTTAACTGAGACAGGAAACAATACATTACTCACTTGGGGTGTGTGTGTGTGTGTGGGGGGGGGGGGGGGGAGGGTAGTGGACCTTGCTTTTCCAACTGCACCCTCCTTTGTACCCAGTCAAGGGATGCTCTATTGCCTGGGGTCCCCTGGACCCTATCACTCCCATAAATGTGCCTAGGTGTGGTGTTCTTGGCCAAGTGGGTGTAGAGGAGGGAGGTGTGATGTGGGTCTGTGCCCCTCCCCCCAGTATAGAGCAAATGCTGGCCGCCAACCCGGGCAAGACCCCGATCAGCCTTCTTCAGGAGTATGGGACCAGAATAGGGAAGACGCCCGTGTACGACCTTCTCAAAGCCGAGGGCCAAGCCCATCAGCCTAATTTCACCTTTCGGGTCACCGTTGGCGACACCAGCTGCACTGGTGAGGAAGGCTTGGGCAGCCTGGCTGCCCTGTGTGTATTCACAGGGCCCCTGGCTTTGCACTGTGGAGTCTCTCTGTTCACAGTCCTCTTCTCCAAGACCAGAGAAGGGCGGGAGGGAGGGAAGGAGGGAGAGATTTCAGTGGGAAAAGCCACTGGCTGGATTGGGAGAACAGGGCTGTGTGAAGGTGGATGGGACTCGGGAGAGGTGGGGGAGTGGAGTGCTACAGGGATCTGGCAAGTTCTCATCATTCCAGGGGGGAAAAAAAGAGACAATTCTCAGTGGATGTGTGCGAGAGCCAGTGCCCACTGTACTAAGTTCTGCGTCTCATGCTGAACATAACTATGGGAGATTCAATGGCTGATGCCTAGTTTCATACTTAGTAAGTGGCAGGGTAAGGTTTTAACTGCAGAGCCTACCCTGTGTTGTTCCAGCTATCTATTGAGAGAAATCAAGGTGTTTGCGGAGGAAAGAAGGGCAGAGGAGCCCCAAACTGTTTGAGCTCACAAGTCCTGCTTGGCCTGACCTAATTCTGGAAGTAATGGCAATCTAAGGGCCCCATCTTCCAGCCATTAGTGGAACCCTTCTAGTCTTGGGCAGCGGGCGGCTGGTCTGAGGGCTGTGAAGAGAGGTTGTGGGATGTTGGTCTTTCTTCCGTCCATCCAGTGATCGCCAGTATTGCCCACATCCCCTCCCTCAGGTCAGGGCCCCAGCAAGAAGGCAGCCAAGCACAAGGCAGCTGAGGTGGCCCTCAAACACCTCAAAGGGGGGAGCATGCTGGAACCGGCCCTGGAGGACAGCAGGTGAGGGAGGAACAGCCAAGGCAGGCCCCTATACCACCCCTTTCTATACCACCCCTACTACGCCCCCGAGGCCTTGCTTGGTAATGCTTGGCCTGCTTCATCTGATACCTTTCTGAGGATTTCCTCTGGAGCTGAACAGGGGGCTTCCAGGGCTTCTGTTGCTGTGAGCAATTCTTAGAGGAATAGCTAGCCCCTTTGAGGGGTTGTGGCTCTTTTGGGTTAGGGAAGGGAAGAAGTGGGTGGAGGCTGAGGCTGACAGGAGTCGTTCCCCTCTCCTCTCCTCTTTCACATTCAGGCTGGGGATGGTTGTTCCCATGGTTCTGGGTAGGAAGAGACTTTTTTTGAGACTTCCTTTTCTCAGTTGTTTTGAGCCAGTGTTGGGCAGCAGAGGATCCTTTGAGGAGGTGCTGTTATTGAGCTTAATCGTGGCTCATCTGGGAAGTTCTTTTGGGATGGGAAGGTCAGGAGGACCTTGGTCCCCACCCCTCTCCCCCACATGGGTGTGAATCCGAGGCCCCCTTCCCCTCGGGAAGTTCTTTCTCTCCCCTAGATTCTTCGCTGCCTGAGGACGTTCCTGATTTTATTGCTGCTGCAGTTGCTACTCCTGTTCCATCTGCTGGCCTCACCAGGTATATCACATCCCCTGACCATCTTGGGGGGGGGGGGGGTCCTGGCTCCTGGCCCCTCATCCTGACTGGCCCTTGGGTCCAGGCTGGTTAGGATGAGGAAATCTGAGAGCAAACAACAGTAGACTTAACTGGGAATCAGAGTTTGATGAATTTGCACCAGCTGGTAAGCTTTTTGGATAGGAGATAATTTGTGATTTTTTTTTGGTCAGTCGTGGGGCTTGAACTCTGGGTCTGGGTGCTGTCCCGCTCAGCTCTTCAGCTCAAACCTAGCGCTCTACTACTTGAGCCACAGCACCATTTCCAGTGATTAATTGGAGATAAAAGTCTCACAGATGTTCCTGCCCGGGCTGGCTTTGAAACCAGATCCTCAGATCTCAGCTTCCTGAGTAGCTAGGATTACAGGCGTGAGCCATCGGCGCCCAGCATAATTTATGATTCTTAACTAGCCACATGGATGATGTTCCATCATACAGAAGGGGCTTGCAGATCCCATTTTCTTCTGGGCTGGCCACATGATGGTGTAGAGTTTGAGACCCATTCAGTGCTCCTGGCAACTGGCTATACAGCCGCTCCCTGTTCTTGGGAGATGATACTTGGGAGATGTTCCAGAATGGAAATGGGCCCTAGAGGGGCCTTACTTGACAGGGAGGAAGCAGGTAGGGTAAGAGCTGCCTGACTGCTGGGGAACAGCTGCAGTATGTGCAGCTGGCACTTAGGCTCATGGGTATTCACGGAACCATTCAGCTTTGGCCTGTGCTTTTGCTTTTCTTTTCCTTCAGAACTCCCCCCATGGAGATGCAGCCCCCTGTCTCCCCTCAGCAGTCTGAGTGCAACCCTGTTGGTGCTCTGCAGGTGTGTGTCCTGTCCTCATTTCCCGTGTGCTCCTGTCTTCCTGAACCAGGGCCATAGGGAAAGGTGTGTGTGTGGGGAGGGAGCAGCGACTTTTGCTGAGCCCTTTTGCACATCCTCTCATCCTTTCTCTCACCTACAGCCTGAGGCTCGTGGTGCCATTGTGGCTCCGAGGAGCCTCTTTTCACTCAGCCTTGTGCTCCGTGTCTCTCTTCTAAGGAACTGGTGGTGCAGAAAGGCTGGCGGTTGCCAGAATATACAGTGACCCAGGAATCTGGGCCAGCCCACCGCAAAGAGTTCACCATGACCTGCCGAGTGGAGCGTTTCATTGAGATTGGTAACTGGGCAGAAGGGGGTTCCCGAAGCTCCTGTTCCAGCCGTGTAGAACTCCAACCCGGGACATGAGGCACTGCTCTGTACTGGCTCTCCTTGCTCTGCATTCCCTTGTGTAGCTTTTGCCTCACAGCTTCTTCCTAGCACCCTAGGTCTCCCCTTTTACCTGGCCTGCCAGGTTCTCAGGTGCCCAGGCAGGTCCTCAGCTCCACTTTCCTGCAGGGGAGCCCTTACTTCAAGTAGAACCCGGGAGGAACGTGCTGGCCGGTTGGGAATTAGAATCCAGCTCTCCTCTTCCCACGTGCAGGCAGTGGCACTTCCAAAAAGCTGGCAAAGCGGAACGCAGCTGCTAAAATGCTGCTTCGTGTGCACACGGTGCCGCTGGATGCCCGGGATGGCAACGAGGCAGAGCCTGACGATGACCACTTCTCCATTGTAAGTGGCTGGTGCGGGTGGCATGCTGGGGCACTGGGGCACTGTGACTTAGGAATAAGCCTCTGTGTGTCCTGGGCCTGCTTCTGCCTATTTTTCTACCAGACCTAGGGCTCCCTGGGCCCCTCACACCCTCCCCAGCCTTGACTGTATGCCCACTGGTGAGGGCTCAGGGAGAGCTGACCTGAGGCAGGAGCCCTGCGTGCTTCTGTTTCTGGGGTAAGGAAGGCTGTCTGGCCATGGCTCTAGGGTCTAGATGTTTAGTTAGAATGTAGACTGGCAATCACCAGGGCTTAAGCGGGTGGAGGATGAGGATGTGGTGGGAAGGCCAGCTGGAAGCAGTACTCTCGGAGCTTGGGCCTTTCTCTCGTTGAACATCGACTGTTGAAATGCCCCACCGCTCCTGGCAGTACCGTTCTTACTCTTTTCATCTTGACAGGGTATGGGCTCCCGTCTGGATGGACTTCGGAACCGGGGCCCAGGTTGCACCTGGGATTCTTTGCGAAATTCAGTGGGAGAGAAGATCCTGTCCCTTCGCAGTTGCTCCCTGGGGTCCCTAGATGCCCTGGGTTCTGCCTGCTGCGGCGTCCTCAGTGAGCTCTCCGAGGAGCAAGCCTTCCATGTCAGCTACCTGGATATTGGTATGGCCAGTCAGGAAGCTGGGAGATGGGGGGGGACTGGAGCAGGAGCAAGTAGAAGGGGTGAGCAGGGGATGGTATGGACATCTACCCTGTGTGGTAGAGCCTTCCTCCAACACTGCCTCCCCTCTCTTTTGCTCCCCAGAGGAACTAAGCCTGAGTGGGCTCTGCCAGTGCCTAGTGGAACTGTCCACCCAGCCAGCCACCGTGTGTCATGGCTCTGCAAGCACCAGGGAGGCAGCCCGCGGCGAGGCTGCTTGCCGTGCCCTGCAGTACCTCAGGATCATGGTGGGCAGCAAGTAGAGCCCCAGCTGGACTCACGGATGTGCATCCTTTGCTCTCTGCCCTTCCTGCCTCTGGGCCCTTGCATCTGCCCATCTGGAACCTTCTGGAGGTGCCATCTCTACCTCTGACACAGACTGCCTGCTCTGAGGCTGAGGAAAGCACAGGGCTAGGAGCCAGGACCATAGGGTCTTAGCTGGCTCAAGATCCGTCCTCATTCTGGGAGGATGAGTGGGGGAAATGGGGCTCTACTAGAGTCCAGAATAAACAATGCTGCACCTTGGTTTTGTAAACTCTTTCTGTGGCCCTGAGTTGTGTGGGTGGCAGGGGTTAGCGCTATATTTCCTTCCATCTTTCCACTATATTCCTTCTACACGTTTAGATCTTTTTTATGACACCCCCCTTCCCCCGCCATCCCAGTGTTCTTTTTGCTGCAGACAGATCACGCTCTCCCTGGGAGAATCTGTAAGCTGTACTCCTGGAGTTGGGCTTGGAGGAGGCAATAGCAGTTGTTGCCCTGGGGCCCTCCCCCAGGGCTTTGAAGTTTCATTTCAACACAGATCCAGAAGCCAGACCATTTTATTTGGGGGAGACACTTGGTCCTGTGGGGTATGGACCTTGCATGCAGACACAACAAGGGATGATGCTGTTACTTCTTCCCAAAGCGCTGAGGGGTAACCAGGCTCCAGAACTCTCCAGCCCGGGGACTCAGCCTCTCATTGCTCCAGGGCCCCTGGGCATTTCTGCCAAACCTGAGGAGAGATTCATCCTCAGACAGACTTCCCTGTGGACTCCTTTCCCAAGTGCCCTTTCCTGCCTCCTCTGCCCCTGCCCTTCCCAGACCCTGCCATGCTTGTTCCCTCAGACTCACCTTTGGGGCTGAAACAGGAAGGCTGGACTCCGGCCAGATCTCTCCATGGCTTGAAGCAGGGAGCGTAAGAGGGACGCAGAGGTCTGGGCATGTTGCTGTGGGTGGGGTCCATTGTCTTCCTATGGCAAGAGGTTGGCAGTGAGGGAAGGTGGACAATGAGTCACAGGAGAAAGGACTGGCTTCAGGGGCGGAGGGGCCATTCCCCTTAGATGTAAGACCTAGTGAGACCTTAGGAAACAGAGCATCTAACCCTAGAGCACCAGTCCCAACTGAGGTACAGGAAAATGGTGATGCACGGACAAGGCATTTACTCACCATGAAGCCCTGGGCTTCTTGGTCCTGGCTTTCTGGTCCTGCAGTGTGGCCCCAGTCCAGTAATGGCAATAGCAGCAGCAGCAGCACAGCCACCCGCCTGGAATCCATGCTGCCACCCACCTCCCTCCAGCCACACCAGCCTCTTATACCTGCTGTCCCCCTAATTTCCCCCCACCCCCTGCCTGAGGGAGAATCTAGACAGGCAATGGAAATACATGGCTCCATTAAGAGCCGCCTGGGATCCCCTCCCATGGCCCCCTTGGGACTTCCTGCTCTCAGCCTCCCACCCCATCCTGAAGCCTGGAGTTATAGACTTTATTAGATGCATAAATCCTGTCTCCTGAGCTCAAGCAGCATCATTAATTGCAGATGCTTTGTCAGAGCCAGGCCCTAGAGGGCCTTACAAGAACCCCCAATCCCTCAACAGGTCGGAGAGCTTCAATCGATCACCCCTTGTTCCTAATGTGCAGACTAGAGCATGGAGAAACTCCTGTCTGGGAGTTAGGGAAGGACAGAGGGCAGGCCTGATACCCTGTTTTCTCCCCTTCTTGGGGTCAGCAGTCAGGTCCATAGTACAGTTGCACCCGGCCTTTGAACCTCTAGGAAAGCTGCCCACGGGCTGTGGGTAGACAAGAGATACAGAAGGAGACAGAAGGGTTTTGGAGTCTACAGTAGCTTCAAATCTTTGTGGGCAGGCCCCATCTTCACTAGAGAGCATGGGGGAGCTGTCCTCCACAGCTGGAGCTCTGCTGCCACCCTGTGGCCACTATTCCTCACTGCCAGGCCCAGCCGTTCCATTTTTCTAGAACAGCATCTTTTTAAGGAGAAAATGGGAAGAATGATGCTAGACTCCCTAAGGTCAGCATAGCCTCTGCCTGGCTCTGACATTCTGGAGTAAGAAAAGTCAGAGTCGCTGCTTGACGGGGAAGGGCCCTTCAAAGCCATCGGGTGATACCTGTAAATCCTGGAATACATCCTGGCCCACTGGTGCCTATTGGGTCTCTGGCCTATGCTGAAAGTGGGGGAGGGACACCATGGCAGAGGGCCTCCATTTGAGCTGTGAGCAAGCTATCTACCCCTCTCCACCTCAGTTTCCTCACCTAAAGCATTAAGAGGAACTACTTTGAGGGTGAGCACTATCTGAGATACTTCTGTAGCTTGAGATCAAACCTTCTGAGACTGTGTGTATGTGTGTACTAGTCTTGGGGCTTGAATGCTGAGATATTTTTGTTCAAGGTTAGTGCTCTACCACTTGAGTCACAGCTCTACTTCTGGCTTTTTGGTGGGTAACTGGATATGAGTCTTAGGGATTTTCTTGCCTGAGATGGCTTTGAACATGATCTTCAAATCTCAGCCTCTTGAGTAGATAGGATTATGGGTATGAGCCACCAACACCTGGCTCATCAGTATATCCTGCGGTTTACTTCTTAAAAAAGGGAGCATTGAGCCCATGAGTAGCTGACTTTCAATCGTATCATGGTTCTTGTATGTTGCTGTGACAGAGGAACAGGGTGGGACATTGCACATGGTAACTTTTTTGTTTGTTTTTGGTCGGGGGCTTGAACTCTGGGCCTGAGAGCTGTCCCTCAGCAATTCCCCTCAAGGCTACCACTCTACCACTTGAGCCAGAGCACCACTTCCCTGGAAATGGTGATTAACTGGAGATAAGAGTCCCATGGACTATCCTGCTTGGGCTGGCTTTGAACTGCAATCCTCAGATCTCAGCATCCTGAGTAGCTAGGATTACAGGTGTGAGCCACTGGCGCCTGGCCACATCATCAACTCTTGTACTTCATTGTGGGACTTACCTGAACTGCAGTTCATCATCAATAAAATGAAGCATGTTCAAGACCCTGGATTCATTTCCAGCACTACAACGAACAAAAAAAAGCCAAAACCAACTCCTCTGGTTATCAGAGGCTGTTGTGAACAGTAAACGGGCTGCAGGAGAGACATTCAGTGAGTACCTTGCAGAGAGCAGCCACTCTATTCAGCACCTTGCTGCCTCCCCTCCTAATACTGAGTACCAATGAACAGGTTTGGGCTGAGACTGCATTCAGAAAGAGGCAGGTGTAACTGGCATCCTCTGTTTAGGAGAGGTGAATATTAAAAATGGGTTAACCCTTCCTACCTGCAGTTTCACCTTCACCATTCCCACCCAAAAGATCTGCCTTAGCTGGGCACCGGTGGCTCACAACCATAATCCTAGCTACTCAGGAGGCTGAGATCTGAGGATCATGGGTCGAAGCCAGCCTGGGGAGGAAAATCCTTGAGACTCTTACCTCCAGTTAACCACCAAAGAGCTGAAGTACAGCTGTGGCTCAAGTGGTAGAGAGCTAGACTCGAATAAAAAAGCTCAAGGACAGTGCTCAAGCTCCAAGTTCAAGGGCCATAATTAGCATTTGTACATGCATGTGCAGGCACACACGCACGCGCGCGCGCACACACACACACACATTTTGGTATTTGGCTTCCAACAACTTCCTTTCTCACTCTTCCCTGGAGTCCATGTGCTTCCTGACCACAGCATGAGGTTCCTGCTCCCCTAGGCCCTAAGGATGCTCTGGTGCCCTATTGCTACCAGTTGTCTAGCAAACAACAGCTACAAGTAGCTTCTTGCATGTCTTTTGTCCCATAGGGAAACATCAGGGAACTCAAGTTTTCCCATCTGGCTCTCTGTTCTCACTTGTGAAAACTGTAAAGGAAATACACAGATACAAGGAACTCTTACCTACACCACTTCCCTGACCTTGAGTCTTGGAACATGACCTGTTTTCTTGTGGAAAAAAAAAAAAAAGTTTTTTTGGGGTCAGTTGTGGAGCTTGAACTTTGGGCCTGGGCGCTGTCCCTCAGCTCTTCAGCTGAAGGTGAGTGCTCTACCGCTTGAGCCACAGCACTACTTGGAGATAAGAGTCTCACGGACTTTCCTGCCCAGGCTGGCTTTGAACCTCGATCCTCAGATCTCAGCCTCCTGAGTAGCTAGGATTACAGGCGTGAGCCACCGGCACCCAGCTTTCTTGTGCATTCTTACCTGCAAAAGGACCCACCACCTCCTCCCATGGAAGCTTCACTCCCTAGCCACACTGGAAGCTTGTTGTGGGTAGGATGTTGCTTTCTCAGGAGGAGGAGGAAGAGATGAGATGCTGGAAGAGGGCACGTACCCTCACACTCTGTCTCCCATGTGCATAAAGCACTTGTGAAGTTCTCTAGAGTGTTCCCTGGACACCATGGGCCCTTGTCTCCAAGACGGTTCTCAGCTCGGTGCTGCAGGCCTTCTGTCTGTCTGTGTAATTTGCATTATTCATCTGCCTTCTGGAGGCTGTGTCTTCCCTGTACAAACAAATAGGGATGACAACCCCTGTTCCTTCTGTCCGAAGATGTGGGAGAGAGGAAGGCCACAAATGTAAAGGCCCAGAGCGTGCCAAGAGTGGCCAGTGGGAACTGGTCAGAGTAGTGAAGCGCACCAGACACACCAGGGGTTCTCTTGATGGTTTAATGTTATAACTGCAGCATAAATAAGGCACAATATATGTTGGGGGGAGGGGTAATTGCTAGGTGGCAAGGGGGAAGGAAGGAGGGACAGTTAGGGAGAAGAGCACGAAGCCCCTGCCTCAGCCCTGCCCCAGGAGATTGTGAGAGCCTGCTCACAGGGGTCATGCTGAATCAGGTGAGGGGAGGGGAAAGACTGCTTTGTAACAAAATAGCCCGTAGCACTGCATCCTCCCACCTCTCAGGGTCCACCACTGGAGCCTGGGGAGCCCAGGCCAAGTTGAGTTCCTTGATATGGAGAGGTATTGCTACATGTCAAAAATATATAGATGAACAGAGATATAATCATAGATATACACTGCTTCCTTCTCCATAGGTTCTACACCAGGATGCACAGCCTCCTCTGTTGGAGGTGGGTGGGGCCCATCCCCTCCATACCTGAGAGAGGTGTGTGTGTGTGTGTGTGTGTGTGTGTGTTAGGAACGGGGTGTAGTTCTGCTGGTCCTTAACATAAGCAAGAACTCAGAGGGAAACAGGGACAACTCCTGCCCAGACTGATGCAAGGGCAGGTTTTAGAGAGAAGACAAGGAAGACAAACGTAGAATTTGAGCTGGAGGGGGGGTGGATGTGGTGGTGGTGGGGTGGTTTTGATGAGTGGAATGAGGGACTGAAGGAGATGGAAAAAAATGTGCTAGTGCCAAGGTAGAGGGGGTTATTTAAACTAATCCCCCATGCCCTGTAGGAAGCTCCCAGTTTGTCCCCAGGTAATGGTTCCCAAACATTAGTGTGCAACAGAAGTGCCTGGAGTGCTTGTCACCCCCCCCCCACCCCCGGGTTTCTGACCTAGCAGGTCTGACACAGGCTGAAATGTTCCATCCAGGAGATGGTGATGCTGTTGCCAGTGGTCCTGGACCCTACTGTGAGAACCACTGCCCTAAGGTCAAGTCAAGGGAACTAGAGTGCTCACAGCCACAGATAGTAGCCATGGTGCTCACCAGGAGTTGTAGCGAGACACTTGCACTGCCAGCCCCCCATTGAAAGATAAACCCTGGTAGCTACAATACAAACCTGCATCTACAAAGGACATAAGCTGCCTTAATCTACTCCCCTGGCCCTCTCCTGGTGCCAGGGGTGGTGGTGGGGTTGCTGGCCAGCAGCTAACTAGGCTCACCTGGAGAGGTGGGGATTTATTGTCTATGCACATGCATGGATGCTAAATAGAAACAGGAATCAGTTCTGTGCTAGGAGACAGATGACAGGGGAGGCTGAGGTGGGGTTAGGGGGTGGTTCTCTAAATCTGCATTAGGATCCTCACCTCTCCTGTTCCTCTAACCTCCCACCCTGGTCAGACACAACTCTAAAAGCAAGCAGCAAGAGCATTCAACAAAGACATATGTGATACGCAGCCAGAAGGTCTGCAATCTAAACTGACTGATTATGAAATTTGCTTTTTAAAAAAGAAATAACATGGGCTGGGAAGGTGGCTCAGTGGTAGAGCGCTTGCCTTGCATGCATGAGGCCCTGGGTTCGATTCCTCAGCACCACATAAGCAGAAAAAAAAAGCCGGAAGTGGCACTGTGGCTCAAGTGGTAGAGTGCTAGCCTTGAGCTGAAGAGCTGAGGGACAGTGCCCAGGCCCAGAGTTCAGGCCCCACGACCAGACCCCCCCCCCCAAAAAAAAAAAGAAATAACATATTTCTTTTGTGTTTATACAACATATAATGATCCTGGAAGATGATGTGGGGATGAAAGCGCTCATGAGAGGGGGGGCATGAAGATGGGGGGAGCTGTGTTAGGGGCTAGCACCTTTAAGGAGCCTCTCAGTGTGGAGCAGTAGAGCCTCAGAAACCAGAGGAAGGCTTTTTGGTATCTGTTCGGTGGTTTAGGCTGTAGATGATACACGGTTACGGTGAAGCACTCCATCCCCTAGGATGGTGGTGCTGGAGGGAAGGTCCCTGAGGAGATGGAGAAGCAAACGGAGAAAGGAGTCAAGAGCTAGACAACAGGATAGGAAGGAAAGCAGCAAGGCCAATATATGATCTGGAGCTTAGGGCCAAGGCAGGCAGATTGGGTTTTCCAATCAACAGGAAAGAAGTAAAGGAGCTACGCTCTCTCCAGTTCTCGCTAGCCCTGTGGAAGGCTCTCTCAGCCTTTGAAACCCTGAGCAAGCTTTCTTTCAGGGGTATGGGACAGTAAGAGGGCAGAACAGGAAGTCTGAGTCCTGAGTTCACTCTCAGCTCTTTTCTGTAGGGTCCTCCCTCCTTTAGGCCCTAGAAAAAGGTCAAGGTCCTTAAGAGGAGCTCATACCCTCCATGGTAACTGGTTCTGGAAGACAAAGATCAGGGGAAAGCGACATGTGGCTGGCCACCATAGTAAGGTACATGACAGTTCCTTGACTGTAAGAGAAGCTTCAAGGCAACAGTGACTCTGCCTTCTTAGTGAGACTAACGACCAAGTAAAAGAGCTGTTTGGAGTCTGTCCTGCTTCTTCCAAATTTCGGTCACTCTAATTAATACAATAATTCTGCCAATGCCCTACATTTAGGTGACCAATAGTCATCTCCTGCTGATGAAAACAAAAGACCCAAGAGAATTAGACATGGGAGCTAAGAAAATAAAAAAAGTCCATCAACATAAAGTAGCCAGCCAGCAAGGGTCAGCCTGGAAGGGCATGTACACAGAGACAAACTGACTCATAACTTTAAGATCATTTGCCTAATGGGGGAAGACAAATAGTCAAGGGTCTTATGGAGGCTCCTTAGGAGCCATAAACTCAGTCATGCTTTAGGGCAAGGCTGCTAATGGGAAATCAAGACAATAAAAAATGAAACAAGACTCAAAAGCAGAGGAAAAAAAAAAAAAAAGATCCCAGGGAGCAGCCATCTAAGAAGAAATCCTGAGCACAAGTTATGGCTGTGAATTTTTAAAGGCAAGTGAAGTCCCCAGAGGAGGCGACATGCATTCTGACCATCTGCCATGACATTTGCTAGTCTGATCACCTCCGGGGCTGTTCCTGTTGGGTCTCTGGTGGTAGAAGATGAGAAAACCAGGTTTTGTCTCCTATGTCGTCACCAGGTATGGCTTGTTCAGCACTGACTCTGAAGAGCAGGAGAGGGAATTGAAAACAAATGCAGCAGAACACATCACTGGATTGGTTAACCAATATATCACTCTGAGGAGATGGGAATCTTGTAGCTCAGAATGTTTTCTCATTCTTGTATGACAGCCAATTTTGGAAGACAAAATAAGAAAGGAAGCTGGCAGTTATTTTGTATGTGTGTTAAGGATGGAAGAGGAGAGATGGAGAAAGGACATTCTTGATTTGGGCAGATGGTAGAAGATGGCTCTGGGACAATTGGAAGGGCTATTAAAGCTGACCTATCTATCCACAGGCCTCTGGCTTTGGATCATTTCCTATGGCCATAGTAGAAATTGCATAGTTCAGAGCCAAAGGAAGATGAGAAGTCTTAATGAGGGGGAAAAAGGAACTAGAGGGATGGGATTTTTCTCCCTGAAACTCAGCTTTTCAAATAGCTGAGAGACAGAGTCAATAATCTCCCATGTAGGCTAGACCCTGGCCTCTTAGCTGAAATTACGGTTACTTTCTTCCCCTCTCCTTCCTCCAAACAATCTTATACGAAAGAAAGAAAAGCCAGTCAGGGTCCTAGCCATGGAGCGTCAGAATTCTGGAACTTGCACCATGGAGAAACATGGGGGAAACAAGGGCGGGAAGAGTGAAGAAATGTGTTCAACAAACTTGAAGGACCTAGGAGCTAGGTGGGAGCTTGGTGGGAGAAAGGGAAGGAAGTCCACAGGGCACTGGTGAGTACAGCTCAGGCTGGGCACTGTTAGCTCATGCCTGGAATCCTAGCTACTCAGGAGGCTGAGATCTAAGGATCCTGGCTCAGAGCCAGCCCAGGCAGCAAACTCCATAAGTAGAGCTGTGGCTCAAGTGGTAGAGTGCTAGTCTTGAGCAAAAAAGCTCTGGGACAGTGCGTAGGCCCCCAGTTCAAGCCCTAGGACCAGCACCAAGAAAACAAAATCAGCTCAGAAGACAGATGTGTAAGGTTGTGAGGTGGAGGACTAGCAAGGGGATGCCAGAGTCTCCTATATAACAGCCTCCATAAAGCTGATCAAAACTAGCATGGCAGAAGGCCAGAGTCGGTAATATGGACTGGGGGACAAAGAGAGAGAGGCAGGAGCAGAAAGATGACCAAAGGATGACAATATGTACACTTTGGCCAGTAAACTCTTGTAAAACATAGTTCATTCAGTAACCTGACAGAACAAGCTTTATAAATTATATTGTTCCTGTCTGCCCTGATGATTAGAATGGAGGAGGAGGGAGGGAGAGAGAAGGAAACCCAGTCAGATCCCAGACTCTTTCCACTCCTCTTTCCACTGCCAGGCAATATCTAACAATAAGGCCACAAGATTTGGTTGCCAAGGCTTAGTAGGATGTGGGGAAAAGATTCCACTGCTAGACTAGGAAAGTCAAAAGACAAGACAAAATGAGATACTCAAATAGTTCTGGAAATAGATGAAAAAAGACTGGAACTCTTGGGGGTTTCTTCTCAATCAATCAATTAATCAATCTCTTCTTTTTGCTCTATTTTTGCTGGTAGGTAGGGAGAAGGAATAAAGCACATGGAATAGTAGAATACCGCTACTTCATACATCAAAGTAATCTCACACTCTCCATAAGTGAATGTTTTAACTAGAATTTAAGAAAGGGAAAAGGGATAAATAAGCAGCTGTTGGGAGTCAAAGTCCTGAGTCCATAGGGTGGCTGGGGATGGGACAGCAGGTGAAATGCCATCAAATCTAGCTTCCCTCTATCTAGCAGGAAGTGGCGTGCTGGTAGAATAGGGTAACAAGCCACAGCTTAGTGGAGAAGAGAGGAAACTGAGAAGCCCCAAACCTAGAAGTGCAAGGGTTAGTGTTAAGAGAGACAGGTATGCGTGCATGGGGCAGAGGAGATTGCTCGGACCATCTGGAAAGGCCTTTGGCTGTAGGTACATCAGAAATCCCTCTTGGGGATGATCTATGTGGCTCTGGGGCTGGGTTGCCCCTAGTACAGGTGTCAAACATACACGATCATGTGGCTAAAGAGGAAAGTCTCACATCATCGTCCATACTCACAACACACAACCCTCCCGCACTGCCACGTCCCAGGCTGATGGGAGCGGGTAAGATTATCTCTCTTGGCTCTTGGGCGGGTGAGCTCTGGCTTGAGACCTCTCCACCAGGGGAGGCATCATCTTCCTGCAGACTGTGACTGTGGGGTCATGATCACATGCGACTGTATGGGCATGCTCAGTTCTGTCCTTTGGCTGGCCATCTGAGTGAGGACCGAGGTGGCCACAGCTTCAGCTGCAGAGCGAACACTGAGGCCGTTGCTAGGGGCTGTTGCTGAGCTGTGCTGAATCACGGGGGCTGGAGACCCTGTTGGTTCTGAGCTTTCCTTGGGGCTTTCTGCCAGGAAGGAGGGTAAACAGCAGAGAGAGAGAAGGAGGTTAGGAAACAGACAGGATTACATTTTCTTTTCTTTTTTTTTTGGTCATGGGGCTTGAACTCTGGGCCTGGGAGCTGTCCCTCAGTTCTAGCTCAAGGCAAGAGCTCTACCACTTGAGCCACAGAGCTACTTCCAGTTTTCTGGTGGTTAATTGGAGGTAAGAGTCTCACAGATTTTCCTGCTTGGGCTGGCTTTGAACCATGATCCTCAGATCTCAGCCTCCTGAGTAGCTAGGATTGGTGCCATTTTATTATTTACTATCATCTAACATACCATATATTTTACCTATTCACTTGTATCTATCTATCTATCTATCTATCTATCTATCTATCTATCTATCTATCTATCTATCTCTGGAGATTGAACTTAGTGCCTCTACCGCAAGTCCTTAGCCCACTCTTATTATCTGTCTCACCTACCAAAATATAAGCTCCTTAATCTAATCTATTTGATTCCCTATGAAGATCCCAAGTGTGGCTAGGAATGTGGCTTAGTGGTAGAGTACTTCCTACTAGCATGCATGAAGTTTTAGGTTCAATTCCTCAGTGTCATATAAACAGAAAAAAACAGAAGTGGTGCTGTGGCTCAAGTGGCAGAGTGCTAGCCTTGAGCAAAAGAGGCTCAGGGACAGTGACCAGGCACTGGCCAAAAAAATAAAAGATCCCAAGGATGTGCTGACATACAACAGGCACTCAATCAACATCTGATTGATGAATAAATGTACCTTGAAGTACATATTAAAATTTAAATAGATTATCTTGAAAATTGGTGATGTGGTTACTTACTTTTTTGAAATGATACAGATGGTCAGTGGAAAAATAATGCAGTATTATCAAATTGCATATCAAATCAACATTCCTATGAATTTCTTTTATTTGGAAAGGATAACTAGCATTGTTGGTGTTTACTAACTATAAGCAAATTATTCACAATAATATTAACTTCAGAGTTCTCCTTAAGCTAAGCACAGTTCTGTAGCCATCTTTCTAGCACTATTTTATGTATGCTCATAGAGTACAAATGAAAACCAAGATTGGCTAGTTCTTAGAAAGGGACAATGAGCTAGTCCTGATACCTCATGCTTGTTATCCTAGCCACTTTAGGGGGCTGAGGTTTAAAAAAGCCAGCCCACGTAGGAAAATCCATGAGACTTTTTTCTAATTAATCACCAAAAAGCTGGAAATGGAGTTGTGGCGCAAGCAGTAGAGTACAAGCTGTGAGCAAAAAGAAAAAACTCAGGACAATGCTCAGGCCCTGAGTTCAGGCCCTAGAACCAGCACACACATATACACAACACCAAACAGAAATAGGGACAATACTCTCAATCCCAGAGTTTCATCTATTATCTGTGTCTTCCATAGGACAAGACAGTTTCTTTGGCAAGAAACATCAGGATGTAAACCTTATTTTTTTTTTTTTTGACCAGTCCTGGGGCTTGAACTCAGGACCCGGGCACTGTCCCTGAGTTTCTTTTGCTCAAGGCTGGCACTCTACCACTTGAGCACAGTGCCACTTCTGGCTTTTTCTGTTTATATGGTACTGGGGAATCAAACCCGGGACTTCATGCATGGTAGGCAAGCACTCTACCACTAAGCCATACTTCCAGCCCCAGGATGTAGATCTTGAAATCTTCGTTCTACCACTTTATTAGCTATATATCTGAGTGCAGTTTTCTCACCAATAAATGCAGATGATTTCATGAGAGAACTGAGAGAATAGATGAGTACCTAAACAAAACGGGAACCCAATAAATAATACTACCTACCTTTTACATCCAACTATAGATAAGTCTTTAAAAATTTTTTTTTGGCCAGTCCTGGGGCTGGAACTCTGGGGCCTGGGAGCTGTCCCTGAACTCCTTTTGTTCAAGATTAGAGCTCTATCACTTGAACCATAGTCCCATTTCCAATTTTCTGGTGGTTCATTAGAGATAAAGAGTCTCACGGACTTTCCTGCCCGGGCTGGCTTTGAACCATGATCAATAGATCTCAGACTCTTGAGTAGCTAGGATTACAAGTGCGAGACATCAGCCTGGCTGATGTCTTTTTTTTTTTTTTTTTTTTGGTCGGTTGTGGGGCTTGGGCACTATTCCTCAGCTCTTCAGCTCAAGGTGAGCACTCTACCGCTTGAGCCATAGTGCCACTTCCAGGTTTCTAGTGGTTTATTGGAGACAAGAGTCTCACGACTTTCCAGGGCTGGCTTTGAACCGTGATCCTCAGATCTTAGCCTCCTGAGTAGCTAGAATTACAGGCGTGAGCCACCGGTGCCCGGCTGTCTTTTTTTTTTTAAGGAGCTAATTACTCACTCATCAGTTAAGAGAGTTCCCAGCACACAAGGACAGTGTTACAAACACTTGAGACAATTGGTAGAGGCATTTCACTGACTTATTTTGCTTAGGTTGCTAGCCACTCACCTAAATAGCCTTGAGTCTTTTTCTGTAGTGCAGTGACTGGGCAGTCTTTATGAGCTAACAGTAGCTGTTTCAACTGAGCCACCTCATTGCGTAGTAACGTGACTTCATTCTGAGGGGAGGGAAAAAGAAAATTAAGAAAATGCATCTTCTATTCTTGGACTCCAGTGGCTAGCCCAGAAGAGGATGGTATGCTGCCTAGATTTTCCTTCCCAGATTAAGACATAATTCCAGATAGCTCAGGGCCAGTCTAGCCATAAATCCAATGACCTACAGTGAAAAGTAAGGTGTCATGAAAAGAAAGAAAAAATTACTCCTACTTGGGTTAAATATGACTATACAAAAACTAACAGTGCATATGCTCTTCAACTGAGAAAACCTACTTCTAAGCATTAAAAAAATATTTACTGAAGTACACACAATACTCATTGCAGCATTAATGTTCTTTTTTTTTTCCGGTTGGTCGTGGGGCTTGAACTGTGGGCCTGGGCACTGTCCCTTAGCTTTTCAGCTCAGGCTAGCACTCTACCACTTGAGCCACAGTACCACTTCTGGTTTTCTGGTGGTTTACTGGACTTTCCTGCCCTGGCTGGCTTTGAACTGTGATCCTCAGATCTCAGCCTTCTGAGTAGCTAGGCATGAGCCATCGATGCCCAGCCAGCATTAATGTTCTAACAAACAATATCAGTATGACAATGTATAAAACAACCATACTCAGAATGTAATATTAAACAACTATTTAAAAGAATGAAGAAGCCAGGTGCTGGTGGCTCATTCTCATAATCCTAGCTACTCAGGAGGCTGAGCTCTGAGGATCCAGATTCAAAGCCAGTCTGGCAGGAAAGTCCGTGAGACTCTTATCTCCAATAAAAGCCACTAGAAAACTGGAAGTGGCGCTGTGACTCAAGCGGTAGAGTGTTTGCCTTGAGCTGAAGAGAGCAAGGACAGCGCCCAACCCCAGAGTTCAAGCCCCTATGGAAAAGGCGCTATGGCTCAAGTGGTAGAGCACTAGCCTTGAGCTGAAGAGCTAAGGGACAGTGCTCAGGCCCAGAGTTCAAGCCCCATGACCGACCAAAAAAAAAAAAAAAGAATGAGGAAGATCCTCAATCCGTAGTGAGGTTTCTTGATACTGTTAAACCAGTATTTATTTCTGTTTGAATCAACTCACAGTCCTGCCAACTCTCACACAAAAAAGTAGAAGTGCAAATATATTTAGACATATGAATACAACAGGAAGGTATACACAAGATTTTGTTAGAGGGAATTTAGTTACAGCTCCCAGAAAGGAATTGGGAAAATAAATTTAAAAGGGCCTTTGCTTTTAGTCTGTATATGTTTGTGTGTTTGCATGTAAAATAACAGAAATGTTTTTATGTACACCTTAAAGTTTTTTTTTTTTTTCAGAACTGTGATTTGAACAGGGCCTCACACTTGCTAGGCAGACCCTCTACCACTTGAGTCATTTTTCAGAAAGGTTTTTGTTTTTCCTTGTCCTAGGGCTTGAACTCAGGGCCTGGGCACCATCTCTTTGATGCTTTTGCTCAAACCTAGTGCTCTACCATTTGAGTCACAGCTCTACTTCCAGCTTTTTTGGCAATTTATTGGAGATAAGAGTCTCACACTTTACTGCCTGGGTTGGCTTTGAACTGCAATCCTTAGATCTCATTCTCCTGAGTAGCTAGGATCACAGGTGTAAGCCACCAGCACCTGATTTTCAGGAGGGGATTTTTTTTTGTTGTTGTTGGTCATGGGGCTTGAACTCGGGCCTGGTCACTATCCCTCAGCTCTTCAGCTCAAGGTAAGCACTCTTATCACTTGAGTCACAGTGCCACTTCTGGTTTTCTGGTGGTTAAATGGAGATAAGAGTCTCACAAACTTTCCTGCCTGGACAGGCTTTCAACCATGATCCTCAGATCTCAGCCTCCTAAGTAGCTAGGATTACAGGTGTGAACCACCAGCGCCCGGCTTCAGGAAGGGTTTTGCATTTTTGCTCTAGACAGCATGAACCACCAACTTTTTTTTTTTAGTCGGTTGTGGGGCCTGAACTCTGGGCTTGGGCGCTGTCCTTCAGCTCAAGCCTAGTGTTACCACTAGATCCACAGCACCATTTCTGAATTTTTTTTTCTTCTGCTTATGTGGTGCTGAGGAATCGAACCTAGGGTCTCATGCATGCCAGGCAAGTACTCTACCTCTAAGCCACCTTCCTAGCCCACCACCATCTTTTTAAAAAAAAATTCAAACAACTTTATTGATAACAGCCAGTTGTTGCAACCAATACAAGTAGTCTTCATCTGCAGAACATAAATAATTTGTAATATCTATATAATACATTAATCTTCAATTAAAAGTTTTTTTCAACTATAGGGATGGGGCTAAATTGCTAAACAAATATGTCAGACTCAAGACCCACATACTCCACAACTGCACTGTACCAAATGCAAATTTTATAGCTAATAATTCCAATGACAATTTTTCTTTATGTTATGGACAGCACAACATGAAGGTGGGAGAGGCGTGGTCAAAGAGAAACTCAGTTAAACTGATGAAGGACACTTTAAATGGGACTCTTTTTTTGTATGTGTGTGCCGGTCCTGGGGCTTGAACTCAGGGTCTATCCCTGAGCTTCCTTTACTCAAGGCTAGTGCTCTACCACTTGAAGCACATCTCCACTTGCCAGCTTTTTTGAGGGTAGTTTATTGGAAATCAGTCTCATGGACTTTCCTGTGGGAGCTGGCTTCCAGTCATGATCCTCAGACCTCAGTCTTCTGAGTAGTTAGGATTGCACCACCACCATCTTTTTTTACACTTCCAGGAAAGGTGTGATGACAGGCACCTGCAATCATCTAACTACTAGGTGACAGAGTAGGGGTCTTGCCAATTTTTTGCTTGGCTAGACACAATATTGCAATCATCACTGGGCAATGGTGGCTCACGGCTATAATTCTACTACTAGGGAGGCTGAGATCTGAGAACCACAGTTCAAAGCCAGCCTGGGCAGGAAAGTCTGATAGACTCTTATCTTATCCACCAGAAAACTGGAAGTAGCGCTGTGGCTCAAGTGGTAGAGCACACTCACCTTGAGCTGAAGAGCTGAGGTACAGCGCCCAGGCCCAGAATTCAAGCTCCATGACTGATAACAACAACAACAAAAAACAAAAAGGACAAAAACCCCCCCTGTAATCATCTTCATCTCTTCCTCACAAGTAGTTGTAATTATAGCGCACCATTATGCCTAGCCATATATTATTATTATCATTATTATCATTATTATATTTGTCAGTCGTGGGGGCTGAACTCTGGGCCTGGGCACTGACCCTCAGCTCTTCTGCTCAAGGCTAGTGTTCTACCACTTGAGCCACAGTGCCATTTCTGGCTTTTTTCTTCTTATACAGTGCTGAGGAATCAAACCCAGGGCCTCATGCATGCGAGGCAAGCACTCTACCACTGAGCCACCTTCCCAGCCCCATGTATATTACTTTTTAAAATTCAACATTTTAATAACTGAAAGTGAATATTCAAGACAGTATCTGGATTATAACTGTCCCATTTATGTTTGTAGTGGACTTTTTTTTTTTTTTTCTTTCGGTTATGGGGCCTGAACTCTGGGCCTGGGCGCTGTCCCTTAGCTCTTCAGCTCCAGGCTAGCATTCTACCACTTGAGCCTCAACGCCACTTCCAGTTTTTTCTGCTTATGTGGTTCTGAGGAATGGAATCCAGGCCCTCATGCATGCAAGGCAAGCGCTCTACCACACTGAGCCACCTTCCCAGCCCCATTGTAGTGGTCCTTCTCTCCTTCCTTCCCACTTCTCTTTCCTCCCTTCCTCCGTCTTTCCTTTATCTTTCTCTCCTTCTTTCTCTTCTCTTCCTCCCTTCTTTCCTTTCCTTTTTCCCTCCCTTCTTCTCAACAAGGTCTCACTGTGTAGCCCAGAACTTATGATTCTCCTGTCTTAGCCTCCTGCTGGGTACTGGGATTATAGATGTGTATTACCATGCCCAGATTTTTTCTTTCTTTCTTTTTTTTGGTTGGTCATGGGGCTTGCACTCTGGGCTTGGGCGCTGTCCCTGTGCTCTTCAGCTCAAGGCGAGCGCTCTACCACTTGAGCCACAGCGCCACTTGTGGTTTTCTAGTGGTTTGTTGGAGATAAGGGTCTCAAGGACTTTCCTGCCTGGGCTAGCTTTGAACCGCGATCCTCAGATCTTACAGGCATGAGCCACCAGTGCCCGGCTCAGATTTTTTCTTTTATGAAGATAGTAACTATATTAAACAGATGTCTCGTTGTATGTATTATGACTTCAGTTAGATTCTACTAATGATTTAAAAGAATACTCCAGGGTGTTTAGTCTCACGTATTTCATCCCAGCGGGTCTATGTTTTGCTATATGTATGTGTGTGTGCGTGGTATTGGAGATGGGGCCTGGCACTTGCACCTACTCTGTCATGGAGCTACATTTCCCAGCCCCCAAATGGGCCTATGAATGACTCATTCTAGGTAGATAGTATCTTTTTCAGGGACACTAGAAAAGATGTCTCAACTCTGTTAGTAGATTCTGCATTCTATCTGTCACAACTTCTGGATATACCCTAACTCAATAACTATCATTTTCTATTACATTGTCTTACCTTGCTTCCCCCCCCTCCCCGCCCTTGATTCAACCCTACTTTATAGATTCTATAATCCCCCAAATCATCCAGGGCCCACTCACACTCAGCTGAATGTTCTGAGAAGTGAGTTCCTCTGCTTTCTTCTCCAGGGAGGACACCCACAGCTTCCGCTTTTGGCGGCAGCGGGAGGCTGCAGCCCGGTTGCGCTCCAGAAAGCGCTGCCGCCGTTCATCTGGATCTTCATCCACTGTGCGTCGCCGTCGTCCCCCAGTACTAGGGGTAGGCTGGGCTGGAGATACCTGTTACCCAGGAAGGAAGAGGAGTAACTTTTTAAGACAGGGTTTTAATATGTATAATCCAGGTTGGCTTTGAACTCATGATCTTCTGCCTCAGCTTCCTCAGTGCAGGAATTACAGGAGTTAGTGGTACAGAGAATGAAGAGTACTTGATAGAACATTAATATTTTCCAAATCAAACTTAATGTTAGGTAGACTGGTAGAGATCTGGTAAAAGGATGTAGCACTTTTGGTAACATCAGGCTTCACTACCATCCACTATATCCCTCAGCATGTGCTTATTCCTGCTCTCTCTGTCTCTCCTGGTACAGAAACTTGAATTTAGGGTCTCTTGCTGTCATTGGGCCTTTTTGCTTACACTGGTGCTCTATCACTTTGTACTATAACTTGTAGCACTTCCAGCTTTTTGGTGATTAGCTGGAGGTAAGTGTCTCAGACTTTCCTGCCCTGGCCTGCTGTGAAACTTGATTCTTAGCCTCCTGACTATCTAGGATTACAAGTGTGAGCCACCAGTGCCTGCCTTAGCTTCTGTCTTTTGTAGTAAGTGGTTCCTCATTCTGAATCTCATTTCCTTCCAGTCTTCTTAGTACCACATTTATATAAGTCAGAATTGAAAACTAATTATCATCAGCCACATAGGGAATAAAATAAGAACTATGTTTTGTTATTTTGTTTTGAAGCAGTAGGGAATCTCATAGGCAGCAAAATCAGAACTGAGGGAGGGCAATAGAGGAACTTTTAGGGAGAATGTAAAGTTTGAGAATCACTGGTCTTTTATTTTTTATTTTTTCTTGTCGGTCATGGGGCCTGAACTCTGGGCCTGGGCGCTGTCCTTCAGCCCTTCAGCTCAAGGCTAGCGCTCTAACACTTGAGCCACAGCGCCACTTCTGGCTTTTTCTGCTTATGTGGTACTGAGGAATGGAACCCAGGGCCTCATGCATGCAAGGCAAGCGCTCTACCACTGAGCCACCTTCCCAGCCCGAGAATCACTGATTTTGATAAGTAGTGTGTACAATTACATACTCTATCAAGATTCAAAAAAGAACGATTTCCATTCAACTCACTACCAGAGAGATATAGGTTATATGGAGAGGTTAGATTAATATATTCCTATTAGTATATACATATTAGTACATACCACATCCTGGGATCAAACCCGAGGCCTTGCACATGATAGGCAAGTGGTCCTACCACTATACTCCCAACCCAGTACGTATTATTTATAATCAGCAATTAGTTATCATCAGCAGCACCCCTCTTTATTTGTCAGTAGAGGAAAAAAAATATTTAATTTCCTTACAAGCTGGATAGAGGAATGGCTTTTTTTTTGGTGGTACTGGGTACTGAACTCAGGGCATTAAGCAAGGCCTACCACTTGAGTCACTTCCAGCCCCTGTCTGCCTTTATTTTTTTCTTTTTCTTTTCTTTTTTCTTTTTTTTTGTCAGTTGTAGGAGTTGAACTCTGGCCTGGGCACTGACCCTCAGGCTCTACAGCTCTAGGTGAGTGCTCTACCACTTAAGCTGCAGTGCCACTTCTGGTTTTCTGGTGGTTATATGGACATAAAGAGTCTCACAAACTTTCCTGCCAGGACTGACTTTGAACCGTGAACCTCAGATCTCAGCCTTCTGAACAGCTAGATTACAGGCATGAATCACTGATGCCCCTGATTTTTCTTTTGAGATAGGTTCTTACTATATAGTCCAGGGTGGCCTCAAACTTCCTGCTTTTACCTTTTGAATACTGGGACAGGTGTATCCTACCATGTCTGGCTTTTTTTTTTTTTTTTTGTCAGTCATGAGGCTTGAACTGTCCCTTGGCTCTTTTCCTCAAGGCTTACACTACTGCTTTGAGCCACAGCTCCACTTCCAGTTTTTGAGTAGTTAATTGGAGATTAAGAGTCTCACCGGGACTTTTCTGTCCAGGCTGCCTTCAGTGAACCTCAGATCTCGGCCTCCTAAGTAGTTAGGATCACAGGCATGAGCCTGTGAGACTCTTTATCTCTATTAAACTAACAACAACAACAAACAGCTGGGTGCCCTGTGGCTTACACCTGTAATCCTGGCTACTCAGGAGGCTGAGACCTGGGGATCACGGTTCAAAGCCAGTCAGGGCAGGGAAGTCCTTGAGACTCTTCTCTCTACAATTAACCACCAGAAAACCAGAAGGGCGTTGTGGCTCCAGTGGTGGAGCACTAGTCTTGAACTGTAGAGCTGAGGACAGTGCCCAGGCCCAGAGTTCAAGCCCCACAATTGCCTCCCCCAGAAGGCCCCCAGTCCCCCCAAAAACCCCAAACCCCAAAAAAACCAAAAGCCATAAATGTAGGTGGTTCAAGTGGTAGAGCAAAAAAGCTCAGGAACAGCATACAGGTCCTGATTTCAAGTCCTAAGTCCAGCACACACAAACATAACAACATTATCAACATTCTTCTGAGTATTTCAGCTTTCTCTTTGTCCTGAGTTCATTGGAGCACATGTAAAAATGAGCACTTTAGAAGGGGAAAGGTTGCTATTCTGTCCTAGGTAACTCAATAACTCATGCAGGGAACAGAGGTGAAAGAGCAGGCCAAGAGAAAGGGAAGAGTGGTCACTGGGAAGGAAAGCAGTCCAGCTTGGGCAAAGGATTACTGCTTTACCATTTCCAGGACTGGCTGGCTTTAGGGGGTGAGGGGGTTCTGGAGGGTGAACAGGCTTCACTTCCAACAAAATGAAATGAAACCTTGTTACTGGCCAAGCTTTAAGGCAGCATATGGCTATGAAATGTTTGGACATGTGGTGGTAACCGATGAAGCAGGTGGTGACATCAGGAAGAGGGACTGGGCAAAGGATGTCACTCTAGAAACCAATCTCAGGTTGTTGTCACCTGTCCAGTGCACACTGGTGTGAAAACTGAAGACTATCCAATTTCCAAAGAATCTTACTAAAGCTGAGATCTTGAGAAGACAATCAGACAACTAAATGGAACTCCTATGACTTTTTTTCTTTTTCTTTTTGGATTTTCGTTTCTTTCTGATTAAAAAAAAAAAAAGGACTGAATTTGTAACAAGAGGTATTTGTTGTATTTTCTTATTTTCATATTCATGTATATCGTCCCTCTCCCCTAGTTAGGGGCTAGCTTGGAACTCACCATTTAGCACAGCCTGGCCTTGAACTCATGATCCTCCTGACTCCTCTCAAGTTTTTTGATTCTAGGTTTGTACCACCAAATCCAATGTATTTTCTTATTTTATTCTTCTTTTTAGCGAGCCATCTTTTTTGTATGTATTAGTGTGTGTTTTGGAAGTATCAGGGATTAAATGCAGGGCTTCATGCTTATTAGGCAGTGCTCTATCACTTGAACCACTCCTAACCCTTTTTGGTTTTAATTATGTTTTGAATAAGACCTCCCATATTGCCTGGGGTTAGCCTCTGACCTCCTGCTTAACATAGCCTATGCCTGAGATTACAGGTATGAACCACGGTACCTTAGATATGTTTTTTTTTAAAAAGAAAACCTAGGGCTGGGAAGGTGGCTCAGTGGTAGAGTGCTTGCCTTGCATGCCTGAGGCCCTGGGTTCGATTCCTCAGCACCACATAAGCAAAAAGAAAAAAGCCGTAAGTGGCACTGTGGCTCAAGTGGTAGAGCGCTTGCCTTGAGCTGAAGAGCTGAGGGACAGCGCTCAGGCCCAGAGTTCAGGACCCATGACGGGACCCAAAAAAAAAAAAAAAAGAAAACCTAATTAGGGTTTTCTTTTGTTGTTGTTAGTATTAATAGATATGAATCTAGGGCGCCTCCTATGATTAGCATATAATGTGGTATGAAAGGAGGTTCTTTCATAGTCCAGAGGTTTCTGGACTATATTCACATGGAGAAAAGAATAAAAACAACTCTGCAACAGCTCTGCATTATTTAGTTTGTTTGTATGTACATCTAACACAAGGGTAGTTAAACATGGCATGTTTTTGTTGTAGTCAAACTGTCAATAAGAGCTAAGCCACAGGATGGAAGCTAGAGAGTTGAAATCTATTCTTCTCTAATTTTCTACTCCTTACAAAACAGCTATGACAAATGGTAAGGGTAACACAGCTTGTTCCTCCTATCGAAGTGCCAGACTAACCTGCGGCTGGGCAGGAGATGGGGCATCAGGGTGCTGGATGAGGATCTGGCTCTGCTCTGGGCGAGCTGTCACCATGGTACTGGCAGTACCCACCACCATTCCACAACCACCATTGATTGAGGAGACTTGGTGGGTTAGGCTGGCTTTTAGTCTCTGTGGGGGAGAAATAAAGAACAAAAAAGTCTGTCAAGGGTGAGATTCTAGCAAGGATGAGGAGGAAGGGCTTAGATTGCACTGACCTTACAGACAGTTAAATTTCCACTTCAATTTTCTCTTAAGAGGGAAATTAAAAGAAAATGACAGGGAGAGAAAATGTGCACCTGGATCTCTAAAAAGCCTACTCTGTTCCCTGGCTATGGTCCTGGGCACAGTTGGGGACTGGGGATTGTTGAAGCAATGGAGTCCAGATGAAAGCTCTCTCCTGGACCTTGGCCAGAGGCTGGTTATGCAGCTATTCACCTCTTGGCCAGCTCTCCTGTCCACTCACCCACCCTCCATCTGTCATCCTGGAACTAAAACGGCAAGTGTTCCATTCCAAACAATCTGTGCTGCTTCTTTCCCCTGCCATGGTCTATGCACCAGGCTCTAATGGTGGGGAGAAGAGATGAGTGTCATGAATCAGGGTCTTTTCCAAATCCCTCAGCAAAGTCCTAGCTGTACAAGCTAGAAGGTTCTTTTGCTCAGCTCACTTGAAAAACTTAGGCCAATACCCCCTTCTTTTAGAAGGGCCGATATGATCCCAGGCTACTGTGTACTTACCATCTTGGCTTCTGACGGTATAGGATGGCCAGAGGGAGAAATGGAGCCACTGCTGTTAACTGGTGGGCCAGGGATTCCAGGAATGTTGGGCACCATGGACACAGGTCTGGCCAGCTGATAAAGAGAGAAAGACCAAAAACCAGAAGGAGACATAATAGTATTGGTTTTCCCCAAATTGAATGCTTCTGAGACTGGCAAGTCAGGGCTTGTTCTGTGCAGCCTTCCCACAAGGTACGCAGGGACAGCTTGGCAAACACCTTCCCAAGGCATCACAGGATGGGGTAATCGAATCCTTCAGGATGGGGACAGTTTCTACAGGCAAGGCTGAGGCTGTCTGTACCTTAAGGGAATAGCAATTTTAGAGAAGCCATGTGCCAAGTAAAATCAACCAATCAGCAGGCTGGCAAGATCAATTCCTAGACTAGGAGCCAATTGTCCAGATGAGTCTTTGTTTAGTATTCCACAGTGCTTGATTGGCAGAGGTTAGTGAAGAGTTTGGGCAGGCTGCCAGGCTCAACTAATACAGACCAGAGCCCACATTTCCCTGGGGTCCCTCTGTGATTATGACCATTCAGGTGGAAGGGAGATTATTAGTGTGTTGGTAAGGTTGGTTGCCCCAACTACAGGGCTTACCGATATAACAGAAGGCATCTGTATTGGAGGCCCTGGCAACACAGGCATAGTCTGTCCATTGGCAAGATGCATGACGAGAGGGAGGGAGCCAGTGGGAGACCTACAAAGAGACATGAAGTGAAAAGATCTTTTGCCTATGTGTCTTCCTCCTATAATCAGAGCAGATTTTGCAGTTTTCTGTAGTAAGGGAAGGTATAAGAACATTACTATGAAATCTTGACACACTCTTGAAGATGGGGAAAAGAAGATGAAGAGAAATGGTGAAGTCATTCTGATAACATCTGATATTCTTTTTCTTTTGTATCTGTACCTTATCCCCTCCTCAAACTCCCCTTTCTCTCTTCCTCCCCCGCCCCCCCATTCCCAGCTTGGCAAAATCTTTATATTTTGTAAATTAAACACACTCAACTGATAGGAAGCTAATCCTATTAAGGGTTTAGATCAATTAAATATTCCCACCACCCAAGTGTGTAAGTTTAGACCAAAGGCTAGGGATTAAAGTTGGCATATTGCAAAGATGAATTATATATACAGTAGTCAAATGTGAATAAATTTCTCGTTTCTGTGTTTTGATTTCTTTCCCAGAAAAAAAGGGCTGCCCCTTTTTATTTTTTTGTCATGTGAATCCAGAGAATAAACTTTGAGAAGCTAAAACTTGATGATAACCTCTTAATCCATGGGGTCTTGATGATAGGATTTCAAATCATCCTGTCAGAAAACGTGGGCCTTCCCAAGAGCAAAGACAGACAGACAAATGAAATTAGGAAGAGTAAAGACCAAGATCCCTAACTGGGGACTTAAAAGCTCAGGGACTGTACCCATGCCTGAGTTCAAGCCTCAGGACACTCCCCCCACACACAAAAAAATTAAGAAGTATAATCCCCACTCCCCAATTATGGTCATATTTTTCCCTTCAAAATGTTTCTCTACTAAAAAGGGTAAAGGAGATTCTGTTTAAGGGGGATTTTTTTTTTAAACCGGGTTTTGTTATATAGCTCAGGCTGATCTTGAACTCAATAACCCTTTGGCCTCAGCCTCAGTACTGGGATTACTATGTGCTACCATGCCCAGTAAGAAAATTCTGAGAAACAATCTTAGTAGCTCATTATTCTTAGGTATGTAAAAACAGTTCCTGAAGCCAGGCATGGAAGTTCACACCTGTAATCCTAGCACTCAGTAGGTTAAGGGCAAGGGTGGGAGGGCAGAGTTCAAGACCAGCCTGGATTACATAGTGAGATCTTGTCTCAAAAACCAACACAACAACAGCAAAAACAACATCAGTAATACAGTTCTTATTTTCTCATTATATCTTCCTGTGCCTTTACTTACCCCATTTGCCTGTTGGATGGTGGAGCCTGTGTGATGACGGAGGTTGGGGAGGGAAGGGTTGGATGAAGTGGATCATAGCTTAAGTGGAGAGGCAGGGAGCCAGGACGCACAATGGTGGGTGTGGGGGTAGAGATCACAACAGGCTTTGGGGCAACTTCCTGGGGAAAAGAGACCAACACATCACGAAATGCTTTATAGGGCTGTTTATGGGTAAAATCAAGTATGAATTCACAATTACGTATGTAAATCAAGTTCTGATGCCATCATGATCACGAACCTGTACCTTACCCACGCATTCAAGAGGAATACTGATTTAAGATCTCTTAGCTTCCAGGCATGGTGTTACATCCTTGTAATCCCAGCTACTCTGAAGGTAGAGATTGACAGAACCATGGTTCCAGGCCAGCCCTAAACCACTTAGCAAGATCTAACCTCTACAAAATAATGTAGGTATAGTGGTACACTCCTGTAATCCCAGTCACTTGAGAAGCATAGATTGGAAGACTATAGTTCGGGGCTGGCTCTGGACAAAAATGTGAGACCTTGTATAAAAAATTATTACATAAAAAAGGGCAGGGGGCATGCCTTAAGTGGTAGAGCACCTGCCCTGTGTGGCATGGTGTCTTGAGTTCAAACCTCACTACTGCTAAAAAAAAAATCTTTTAGCCAATTCTTTTTCAAGAATGATATCTATACAAATGTGGTAACAGTTGGAATCTTGGGGCTGTTATAATCTTTCACAATCTAGATCTCATTCTAAACAAATGTACTTTCCTCTGTGTATACTATGCTTCAATAAAATTATAAAAATAATACCTCAAAAAAAAGTGTTTAGGGCTGGGAAGGTGGCTCAGTGGTAGAGCGCTTGCCTTGCATGCCTGAGGCCCTGGGTTCGATTCCTCAGCACCACATAAGAAAAAAGAAAAAAGCCGGAAGTGGCACTGTGGCTCAACTGGTACAGCTAGCCTTGAGCTGAAGAGCTGAGGGACAGCGCCCAGGTCCAGAGTTCAGGCCCCACAACTGGACCCAAAAAAAAAAAAAAAAAAAAAAAAGTGTTTAAAAGCAATAATAGAATCCTAGTAGGTATTTTGGTAGATAATCACTTTGTTACTAGTCTCTCTCTCTCTCTCTTTCTCTCTTTTTGCCAGTCTTGAACTCAGGACCTGGGCACTGTCCCTGAGCTTTTTTTTTTTTTTGGGGGGGGGAGGGCCCGGTCGTGGGGCCTGAACTCTGGGCCTGGGTGCTGTCCCTCAGCTCTTCAGCTCAAGGCTAGCGCTCTACCACTTGAGCCACAGCACCACTACCAGTTTTTTCTTTTTGCTTATGTGGTGCTAAGGAATCGAACCCAGGGCCTCAAGCATGCAAGGCAAGCGCTCTACCACTGAGCCACCTTCCCAGACCTCCCTGAGCTTCTTTTGCTCAAGGATAGCATTCTACCACTTGAGCCACAGCTCTACTTCCAGCTTTTTCTGTTTATGTGGTACTGAGAAATTGAACCCAGGGCTTCATGCATGCTAAGCAAGCACTCTACCACCAAGCCACATTCCTAGCCCTGAGTTATTTCTCTTTGGAAGTATTTTTTTCTTAAATTTAATGTCTAATTCATTAATTTTGTGAACTTTTGTTTCTCATTAACTGAAGAGCATACAAACTGTAAAATGAATTAATCAAAAGTCATCACAATGAAATGACTTTATACACATATAAAATCTGGATGGAGACCATTTCTAGCATTCCAGATTTTCCTGTTTCCCTTCCCAACCAACATTCTGTCATGAAAGGCACACACATTATTCTCTCTTTTTTTTTTTTGTGGGGCCTGAACTCTGGGCCTGGGCACTGTCCCTCAGCTCTTCAGCTCAAGGCTAGAGCTCTATCACTTGAGCCATAGCACCACTTCTGGCTTTTTCTGCTTATGTGGTGCTGAGGAATCGAACCCAGGGCCTCATGCATGCAAGGCAAGTACCCTACCACTGAGCCACTTTCCCAGCCCCAATACATATTATTCTCTCCCTCCCCCCTCTTATTTTTTCCTGAGATAGTGTCTTGCTACAGTGTCCAGGATAGTTTCATAAACTGGGCTCAAGTAATACTCCTACCACCTCAGACTGTTGAGTAACCAACGGTACTATGTTATAATTAGTACACCCTATTGTGAATTCTGCTTTCAAATAATTTTGCCTTTCCTTGGACCACTTTGTTGTTCAATGTTTGTGAGATATACCCACCATGAATTCATTTTTTTTCCTCCCAATGCTGGGGATCAAATCCAAGGTCTTGCACATACTGGGCAAGTACTCTACCACTGAGCTATATATCCAGCCCAGCCTAGTTCATCCTTTTTTGGGGGGGTAGGAAGGGACTGGTCCTGGGGCTTCAACAGAGGGCCTGGGCATTATCCCTGAGCTTCTTTTGCTCAAGGCTAATATACTATCACCTGAGTCACAGCGCTACTTCCAGCGTTTACTGAGTAGTTTGTTAGAGATAAGAGCCTTATGGACTTTTCTACCCTGGCTGGCTTCCAACCATAATTTTAGATCTCAGCCTCCTGAGTAGCAAGGATTATAGGCATAAGCTACCAGTGCATTGCTAGTTCATTCTTCTTTTCTTTCCCACTTTGGTCATGGGGCTTGAACTCTGGGCCTGGGCACTGTCCCTGAGCATTTCAGCTCAAGGCAAGCACTCTACCACTTGCACCACAGCACCATTTCTGGCTTTCTGTTGGTTAACTGGAGATAAGAGTCACAGATAGTGCCCTGAGTTACTACCATTAGAAAAAAAAGTAAGGGAAAATAATTATTCATTTAAATATAATAAATTCTACTTTTATGCTATTTGCAAGTCAAAACATTCATCAATTAACATTTGGGATGACTCCTGGTAGTGAGTTTTACCTTCTCCTTCAGTGGCGGGGAACGGGGGCTTGAGGCAGGACTGTCAGGGGGGGATGAGTCTACTTCTACTGGCTCTTCTTCTTTAATTTTGATGTCTGGTGTGGATGGTAGAGACATGTCAAGAGGTCCAGAAGTACCCTGTTACAAAGAATAAACAACAGTTCATGATTCTCTTCCAATTGAATATATATCTTTCCATTTTAATGAGAACATGTACTTCTACAATTCTAGCATTTGATCAAAGCACTGGACTGTCAAAGAAATGTGGGTCCTATGACTCTGGCTTCTTAGGGCTTCTGTTTCCCTAACTGAAAAATGAAGATAACACTGGTTGTAAGCAAATATTTGTAAAGATTGGAAAACAAATAAACAGAAGATGTCATTTTAAATCCATGCAAATATTAAGATTTTTTTTTTTTTCCTTCAAGAAAGTAAAAATGATTTCTGCCTATTCCCAACCAGCTCTGCTGGCCATTGGAGAGTTGTCAATATTTTCTTTGCTAATCAGGATGAGTGGGTTACCCAATTGTTAAAAGCGAATGAGAACACACTGGCTATTAAAGTTCTACAAACAAGATAGGAAAGGTCTTTTCTGGGAACTCACTATGCTGGAGGGTGATAATACTTCAGAATCTGGAGCTGAGGCTAGATGTTTCAAGTACAGAAGGTTTGGGACAACAAAGAAAGGAAAGGTAGATTGTCTGATCGGTGAAAATTAGAACTTGATTTTAGGTGCAGGGTTGGAGAAACCTGAAAGTTAAAGAGAGTACTTTCCTGGCAGTGGTGCGATCGCTGGAACTGTGCAGCTATAAATGGCTTTGCAGAGAACAGTAACCCTCTGAGGGAACAGTTCTGACACAGTACCACAACAGGAGGGCTGGCATTGGTCTTCAGTTTCACAACAAAGGGAGTCCTTTGTTCTATTCTTCCCATACCTTAGGCTTTTTGGTAAAAGAGGAGCTTGTTTTCCCTTCTTCCCTAGCTACCTTAATCCTAGAAGCCTTTAGGGTAGGAGAGTAAACTAATTTGGTGTGTGTTATGTTAAAGAAGGTGGTAATGGTATCTTCTCTCTAATCTGATGAGGGTAAGAAATAGCAAAGACCATTCTATGTCAGCTTTGTCTGCAATGTTATAATATCAGGCTAATTCTGAGCTAGATTGGAGGAGGCCTCTAAGTAAATACAACCCTGGATTGAAACTTCCCAAGGGGCATCTCCTAGAAAAGCTGTGGTCCAGGAAAGTTTCAGGCTCATTAAACACTCCTGGCCACAGTCTTCCTCTATGCCTGTGCTTCTCATCAGGGAAGGTAAAGACCACCACTGGACAGTCAAGAAGAAATACCATTGGGAAAGGCCTGACCAACTAAATACTGCCTCTCACAACTGTCGACTGAGCTAAAACAGCTATGAGAAAGACTAGAAGCTTTTTATGGGAGGCTACTTTTCTTGAATTTGCCTATGAAGAATTTGGTATAAAAAAATCTCTCACATCAGGGCTGGGAATGTGTCTTAGTGGTAGAGTACTTGCCTAGCATACATGAGGCCCTGGGTTCGATTAACTCCTCAGTACAACATAAACAAAAACTGGAAGTGGCACTGTAGATCAAGTGGTAGAGTGCTAGGCTTGAGCAAAAGAAGCTCAGGGACAGTGCCCAGGACCTGAGTTCAAGCCCCAGTACTGGTAAAAAAGAAAAACAAAAAAGTACATTGGCTATAATGACTATATTTATTCCTTTGTACCCTTCTTTGTCACCTCCCTCCAAATGTTTCCATTCTTTTTTGTATGAAAGCTCTTCAGGAATTTTAGGACTTCCAGTATTATTCATGCTAAATCCCTTTTCTGAAGTGTCAAAACTTCTAGTTTTTTTCACTCTCCTGGGTTAATAGGTTGATCCTCTTTGAAATACATTAAGAATATCCTTTTTTTTTTCAGTCCTGGGGCTTGAACTCAGGGCCTGGGCACTGTCTTGAACTTCTTTTGCTGAAGGGCTAGTGTTCTACTACTTGAGCCACAGTACCACTTTCAGCTTTTTCTGAGAAGTTTTTTGGAGATAAGAGGCTCGTGGACTTTCCTGCCTGGGCTGGCTTAGAACTGTGATCCTCAGTCTTAGCCTCTTGAGTAGCTAGGATTACAGGTGTGAGCCACTAGAGGCCTGGCAGGTACATCCTTCTTTAGTGGTCTGAATAGTACTTAAAAGCCATCTGAAGGCAAGCACCACATATATTGAACCAAACAGAAGAAATTCAACTAATATTTGTAGGCTGGCTGAGCAAAAATAGGGCAGGTAAAAAGTCTGATCAGGTCAGAATAAAAGAAGGTTTGACAACCCATCTGACTAGAATGAATGAGGATTATCTGGTTCTATAGAACAGACTCCAAGATTTTGGGTTTAAACCAATTAAGCAAATTATCCCAGGGCACAATAAAAATGGGCTAGGTCTATGTTTAAATTTGTACAGTTTCTTTTAAATAAGTTTTTTATTGTGAAAATACTGTACAGAGGGGTTATAATCACATGAGCAAGGTAATGAATACATTTCTTATCAAGCATTGTTGCCTCCTCCTTTGTTTCTCCCGTCTCCACAACTATATTTCCCCCTCTCTACTTCTTGTTTTTTGGTTTTTTTTGGGTCCGGTCGTGGGGACTGAACTCTGGGCTTGGGTGCTGTCCCTCAGCTCTTCAGCTCAAGGCTAGCGCTCTACCACTGGAGCCACAGCGCCACTTCCGGCTTTTTTCTTTTTGCTTATGTGGTGCTGAGGACTCGAACCCAGGGCCTCATGCATGCAAGGCAAGCACTCTACCACTGAGCCACCTTCCCAGCCCCCCCTTCTTGTTTTTTAAAAAAACAAAACCCTCAAAAGTTTGACAGTGTCTAAAAATAAAAGTACTTATTAACCTACTTATGAAATGGTAATCCCTTTGTACAACACCTTCATAACAACAATAAAATTATATTTAAAAAAATCCCAAAGTCCCACTTCTTGCCTTTTTCTCATCCTCATCTGTAGCTTTCTTGAACTCATGTTCAAAGGAGCTCGCTAGTTCATTGAAGAGTCCCACCTCCTCACAGTTCTTCAGGAATCTAGTGGGAGTAGGAGTTTGATCTGCAGACATGAGAAGAAAAGGATATGCTGTTAGTTTTGACCTCAGATTAAACTTTGAGAGTATGCAGAGAACGCATTTTTACTTTTTACTCTGGAGTTAGTTTGTACTACGGCAAATTGGCTTTTATGGAGCTATAGTAGGCAAAGGATGGTGGTAGGCCACCAGAGGGTGTCTGCGCTGTGTTGCTTCCAGGCCAGCAGGGGGAAGACAGGACAATGTTTTTGTTGTGTGACAATCCACATACCCACCTTTCTCTTAGTGCTGGTTTTACCTCCTTCACCCTCAAAGAAAACACAGTAAAATAAAATAAAACCACGATGCAAGTGAAGTTTTGTGAAATCTCTAGGTTTGAAAAATCAAGTATAAAGTACAGTTAGGTGTTAAGTCTCCTTCCTTCCTTATTTCCTTCCCTTTCTTCCTTTTTCTTTCTTCTCAGAAGTGTCAACCAAGCTAAAAAGGTATGAGAAAAGCTTGAAGCTTGTTTGCTTACACGTTTTCTTCTCTCACTCTCTCTCTCTCTCTCATTTTTGCAAGTCTGGGGTTTGAACTCAGGGCCTGAGCATTGTCCCTGAGCAAAAGATCTTTTGCTCAAGGCTAGAACTCTACCACTTGGGCCACAGTACCACTTCTGACCTTTTGTGTGGTACTGAGGAATACAACCCAGAGTTCTAGGTATGCTAGGCAAGCACTCTACCACTAAGCCACCTTGCTAGCCTAGCCTGTCTTTCTCTGTTTTGGTGGTACTGGGCTTTGTAATTTAAGGCCTCACAATTGCTAGGCAAGGTGCTCTACCACTTGAACCACACCCACAGCTGGTTTTTACTTTCATGGCCCTAGATTGAAACCATCCTTTTTTTTTTTTTTGGTTGTTCGTGGGGCTTGAACTCTGAGCTTGGATGTTGTCCTTGTCCTCTTCAGCTCAAGGCTAGCACTCTACCGCTTCAGCCACAGCGCCACTTCTGGTTTTCTAGTGGTTTATTGGAGATAAGAGTCTCATGGACTATCCTGCCCAGGTTGGCTTTGAACCTCGATCCTCAGATCTCAGCCTCCTGAGTAGCTAGGATTACAGGCGTGAGACATCAGCACCCAGCTTGAAACCATCCTATTTATGCCTCCCATTGTAGCTAGGATCACAGTCACAAGACATTATGCCCAGTTTTTTAACTGGTTGAGACAGGATTTCACAAACTTTTTGTATAGGTTGGTCTTGAACTGTGATCCTTCTGAGTATCTCTACCTCCTGAGTATCTAAGGTTATAAGAATAAGCCACTGTACTTGGCACACTTGGTGTATGTGCCAAAGAGAGACAGACAGACAGACAGACAGAGAGACAATGTGTGTGTGTGTGTGTGTGTGTGTGTGTGTGTGTGTGTGTGTGTGTTTGTGTGTATGTACCAGTACTAGAGTTTGAACTCAGGGCCAGGGTGGTTTACTACTTGAACCACAGCCACATCTGTCTTTTTGCTGGTTTAATTGGAAATAAGAGTCTCATAGACTTTACTGTCCAGGCTAGCTTCAAATCTTCATCCTCAGAACTCAGCCTCTTGAGTAGCTAGTAGTATAGTAGCTAATATTACTAGCTAATGTTTTCTTTTTTTCTTTTTTTTTTGTCGGTCGTTAGTCTTGAACTCTGGGCCTGGGCACTAACCCTCAGCTCTTCAGTTCAAGGCAAGTGATCTACCACTTGAACCACAGTGCTACTTCCAGTTTTCTGAGTGGTTTATCGGAGATAGGAGTCTCATGGAGTTTCCTGCCCCGGCTGGCTTTGAACCACTATCCTTAGATCTCAGCCTCCTGAGTAGCTAGGATTACAGGCGTGAATCACCAATGCCCGGCAATGTTTTCTTTTGGAACTTACTCCATGTTAGTTCTGAAGCCAGTACAGGTATAGTATAAGCAGATGGATGTTAAAAACTGATGGGAGAGGAGGAACTGAGAATTAGATGGTCTAGTTTGCTTGCTATAGCAACCAAATTTTAAGTGATGCCTGAGTAGGGTTGCTGGTGGCTCACGCCCACATGTTACTCGGAAAGATGCAGTCTGAGGATCCAGGTTGAAGCCAATCAGGCAGCAAAGTATGACTCTTTTTTTTTTTTGGTGGGTCGTGGGACCTGAACTCTGGGCCTGAGCACTGTCCCCTGAGCTCTTCAGCTCAAGGCTAGTTCTACCATGAGCCACAGCGCCACTTCCAGCTTTTTCTGCTTATGTGGTGCTGAGGAATTGAACCCCGAGCCTTATGCATGCAAGGCAAGCACTCCACCACTGAGCCACCTTCCCAGCCCAAAATCTGACTCTTTATCTCTAATTAACCAGTAAAAAAACTAGACTTAATGTTTGGGTAAGTGGTAGAGTATCAGCTGATAGAAGAAAGTGGGAATAGTAAAAAATGTGGTGCCTGTCTTTCAATAGCCACTGAGGTGTAGGTATGATACCTCTGAAGGCTTCCAGGCAAATCTAGAGGCCAGAGAACCAAGAGAGTAATATCTTGAACTAGAAAAGGAAATTGAAAACAATAGTGCTCACTGCAAGAGGACCTGCCCAGAGCAAATTCCGGAAACCAGGATATTTGCATTTAGACTTCCAGGCCAAAATATCCCCACAGGGCCGGTGCAAACAGTGCCTCAGTTCTTAAGAAGATGGAGGCTCTTGATAATCCGTGAGAACTATATGCGTAGCATAGTTTTCAGGTTTGGACTTTATTCCCTACCTTGCTTTTCTAAAGCTGAATTCTATTCCTTGATCTCTTTTCTGATGATTTTCCTTGATATGCTAGTCACTTCAGGAATTTCTCTCCCATTCCAAATAATTAGATTGATATATATATATAGAAAAGCCCGGCACTGGTGGCTCACACCTATAATCTTAGCTACTCAGGAGGCTGAGATCTGAGGATCAAGGTTCAAAGCCAGCTTGGGCAGGAAAGTCTGTGAAACTCTTATCTCCAATAAACCATCAGAAAACCAGAAGTGGCACTGCGCTAGCCTTGGGCTGAAGAGCTGAGGGACAGAGCTCAGGCCCAGAGTTCAAGCCCCACACAGACAAAACAAAAACAAAAACAAAAACTGGAAGTGGTGCTGTGGCTTAAGTGGTAGAGAACTGGTCTTGAGCTGAAGAGCTGAGGGACAACGCTCAGGCCCAGAATTCAAGCCCCATAACTGACCGAAAAAAAAGAAAAAAAAAAAAAAAGAGACCCAGGTTTTAAAATGGTTACTTCTGGTATGATCAATTAGATATAGTCTAGTGGGATTTTCCATGGAAACATTAAATTTTTTTTTATAAACAAAACCTCTTCTGTATCAGACTGTTTAGAAAAGTGACCACTACCTCCTAAAATAGTTTTTAAAAGGTTTTCTGGCAGCTTTGGTTGGCTGACGATAAAGCTACTTTCTCTCCATCCTGGAGTGAGGAGAGGTAATTATCATCTTCTATGCGTGCATGTAGTATTTTGGTAAGGATACACACACACAATCACAACTCAAGTGGAAGGAAGGAGGGAGCAATCAAGGGCATGGCAATGGCAGGAGAGGGACTTCTGTGCTCCTGATCTGAAGCTCCATATAAATTCTTCCATACCCTGCTGTTCATGCTTGTTTCTGGTTTTTGTTTTTTTATTTATTTTTGGTGCCAGCACTGGGGCTTGAATTCGGGGTTTGCTAGTACTCTATCACCTGAGTCTTCTTTTCTTTACTATTATTGTTGGTCATGGGGCTTGAACTCTGGGACTGGGCGCTGTCCCTCAGCTCTTCAGCTCAAGGCTAGCACCCTACCACATGAGCCATAGCACCATTTCCAGTTTTCTGGGTGGTTTATTGGAGATAAGAGTCTCATGGACTTTCCTGCCCAGGCCGGCTTTGAACTGTGGTCCTCAGATCAAGATTATAAGCATGAGCCACTGGTATCTGACTTTTTTTCTTCTTTTAAATACTGCCAGTTCTGGGAGATTAACTTATGGCTTAGGTGTTGTCCTTGAGTTTTTGTTTTTGCTTTTTTTCCAAGGCTGGCACTCTACTACTTGAGCTACAGCTCTATTTCTGGCTGATCCTCAGGTTTCAGCCTCCAGACTATTTAGGAGTACAGGCATGAGCCATTGATCCCTGGCAGGAATAAAATTTATATATGCAGACAGTATCACAATGTACAAAAAGAAGGACTCTAGTGAAGTGGAGAATAAAATTATTAGAAAAATTGAAGATATATTAATGACAAAATTTGTTAGAAAAGATTTCAAGAAGTGGTTCTGATCCAGGCCTTAGGGAAAGGCTTTGAACTGTGGAGAGAAGAGGAGTGATGCAGGAGTTCCCTAGGTGAAGAAATAAGAAAGACAGAGTACGGTTATCAGGTCTGGATGTGAAGAAACAGTATGACTATGTCAAAGATAGTCATTTTCTGTAGGTTATATATTAGGTTGGAAAGTATCATAGGGCTGGGTGACAGAGAACCTGAAAACCCATATATAAAAAGCCTTAAAGTAAGAGGAAACAGAAAGATAAACAGATTTTGACTATAAGAGTAGAATTTAAGGAGAATTGACTTTAATAGTATGCAGGATGGATTGAAATGAAACTCCTCAAGAAGGTAAGCTAGAAGACTTTGGAAGAATGCAATGCAATAAGGGTGGCAGCAAAGAACAGGAAGCCAATGGTTTGGATAAGTCTCTCCCATGTGTTAAAGGCTTGGTCCATATCCCTGGCGCTATGTGGTGGAACCTAGTAGGAGGTTAGAGGTTACTAGGGGTTGTACCCTGAAAAAGTACTGTGGAACCCTGGTCTTTTTCTTTCTTTTTTGCTTCCCAGCTATGAGGAGGCTACATTACATGCTACATTACCACAGGCCACAAAATAAAAGGGGAAATCTCCAAAATTGAGCAAAAACAAACTTTTTTATCACAGGTTTGTTACAGAGATGAAATGTTAATACTAGAAAAGGGATACAACAGAAAGAAATTAGAAAAAGAATAAAATCCTTTAAGACTTTGAGAATATTAGTATTAGTAAATACAAAAGAAAAGAGTTTCTGGGTATGGTAGCAAAGAGATATAATTGCAGCACTCGGGAGGCTAGGCTTAAGCCAACTTAGCTATATAGTGAGAATCTTCTGGACTGTTCTGTAGCACTTTCTATTACTACCCATGGACATCTGGCACAAGTTCTTCCACCCACTTCAAATAACCTTCTCAACTTGATAACCTTGCCCCAACTTTGCCTCTTTCATAAACTTTCTGATTAATTTCACTCAATACTAATTCTCTTAGTATTCATATTGTTTATATTATACTTTTCTTTGTCCAAAAAAGTATCATTTATATTCTGACTTAATTAGGTTTTATTTATGCATATATTTACATTATAACCACTCTTCTCTAAGACCTCTCTCTGGTGTGTGTGTGTGTGTGTGTGTGTGTGTGTGTGTGTGTGTGTGTGTGTGTGTGTGTGTGTGTGTGTGTGTGTGTGTGTGTGTGTGTGTGTGTGTGTGTGTGTGTGTGTGTGTGTGTGTGTGTGTGTGTGTGTGTGTGTGTGTGTGTGTACTGGGACTTGAACTCAGGGCCTCAATAGCTTACTTAGCTTTTTTGCTCAAGGCTGATGATCTACCACTTGCATTTCTGGCTTATTGCTGATTATCTGGCAGTAAGGGTTTCATGGACTGTCCTACTTTGGCTTCAAACTGTGATCCTCAGATTTCAGTAGAAGATCCTTGGATCTGAATAATTAGGATTATAGGCATGGACCACCGGTGCCTGATTCCCCCTGGCTTGTTTTTCTTCTTCCCTTCCTTCCCTTTCTTGCTTTCCTCCCTCCCTCCCTCCCTCTGTCCCTCCCTTCTTTCTTTCCTTCCTTTTTTTTTTTTTTTTTTTGCCAGACCTGGGGCTTGAACTCAGGGCCTGGGCACTGTCCCTGAGCTTCTTTTGCTCAAGGCTAGTGCTCTCCCACTGATCCACAGTGCCACTTCCAGCCTTTTCTGTTTATGTGGTACTTAGGAACCTAACCCAGGGCTTCCTGCATGCTAGGCAAGCACTCTACCACTAAGCCACATTTCCAGCCATCCCACTGGTTTTCATAAGAGTCACTAAATGGGGCTGAGAATGTGGTTTAGTGGCAGTGTTTGCCTAGCATGCATGAAGTCCTGGGTTCAATATATATATTGGTTGTAGGGTTTGAACTCTGGACCTGGGCGCTGTCCCTCAGCTCTTCAGCTCAAGGCGAGAGCCCTACCACTTGAGCCACATCACCACTTCCGGTTTTCTGGTAGTTAATTGGAGTTTCATGGACTTTCCTGCCAGGGCTGGCACAGAACCGTGATCCTCAGATCTCAGCCTCCTAAGTAGCTAGGATTACAGGCATGAGCCACTGGTGCCAGCTATAACTGATTTTTGTTGTTGTTGTTGTTGGTTGTGGGGTCTGAACTCTGGGCCTGAGCACTGTCCCTAGCTCTTCAGCTCAAGGCTAGCACTCTACCACTTGCCACTCTACACAGTGCCACTTCCGGTTTTTTCTGCTTATGTGGTGCTGAGGAATCGAACTTAGGGCTTCATGCATGCTACACAAGCACTCTACACTAAGCCACCTTCACAGTCTGATAGTTTTAACTAACGTAATAAGCACCAAATAAATTCACTATAGATTACATTTTAAGTTAAGCTTTCTTAGAGTTGGCTAAATCAGAACACCTCCTGGTATAAAAAGAAAAAACCCACTTTGTTTTGTGTGTCTGTCTAGCTGCAAATGGCAAAGCCAAACTGCTGCAGGGCTTGAGAACAGTCGTTAAGAATGCTCCCTTGAGAATAACCCACAGAAGCAAGACAATTCTAAAACAACTGGTGAAAGGTTCCAGGTCACCCAAATTGGCTTAGAAAAGTCCCATTGATTAAATGTCTTGTTTGTGTTTTGGAAATGTGCCCTCAGTGGTGTCTGGGTTCACAAGGGAAGTTGAATTTACGAACTGATAATCTGCCTCCTGGAGGAAAACTGATACCCAGCAGTAGAGAAGCAGCCAGGCTAGGTGGACATTTTGTCTTCTTTTGTTCAGCTATTCACTGTGGGTAGGGAGAAATGTCAAAGGCATCTTTTGTCTGTAAATCTTCCAGAGTCTTAATAAAGAGAAGGCAAGGAAGAAATAGGCTGAAAAAAAGCTGAGAAAAAACCTTAACACACCTATCCTCAAAAGCCACAGAACACAATCTTATTAAAAACGGACAGTGCAGGGCACAAAAGAAACTTGGGAGCTTTTAGTGTTCCTTTTTCCTGATTAAATGCAGCTCACGTAAGGGCTCTTGATGGGAGAAAGGGAGTATAGCTCCCAGTACATCTGGTCCCTAGAATTAATCTTTACTGTCTGGTGATAGCAAGGCGCGTGGCTTTGGGGACAGCAAATACCTGCAATGATGACTGAGTCAGTTCGGGCTGGGCCAAATTTCAATGTCATCTCATGCTTGTGTTTATGAACTGCCAGGTGGTCCTCGTTTGTAAATCTCTGAAATGAAACAGAAATGGATATGTGAGAAAAGAAAACAACAAAAACAAAAACAAAGCCACCAATGCAGTGTCCTTTGAAAATATCCTATTAAACAGGCTGCAATGAAGTTGGTCCCTGGAAAGAGAGAAGAGAGTGATGGGAAAAGAGAAGAGATGGAGGGAGAAGGCACTGGAAGGCAGGGAGGAGAGGAAGAAGACCACAGCACAAACTGTTCTGTAGTATCAGGTCCAAACCAGAGAAGTGGACAGATTGTTGAGAAAGTAGGGTCCAGACACAAGGCTCTAAATGAAAAAAAAAAAAAATTAAGGGAAATTCATGGTGAACAAGGGGAAAACAATTTTTAATAATAATAATAAAGAGAGAAGGAAGAAAGTCTGGGCACTCGTTGGTCATCACCAAAATAGGAAATTTCAGAACGAAGCGCTCCATGGTAGGGCTGAATTAGACTATTTTATGTGGGGGCTAACAGGGAGATAAATTATGCAGGATTAGGAGAACCATTTAACTTCCTGGCCCCCACAGTGCTGCAGCAGGCGCCTGCGCAGCTATTTGGCTCAGAGTTTTAATGAGCCAGGATGGAGCTATAGAGGACAGAGGCCCAATGGCCAGCAATAATGCTACATATCAGCCCCATTGGCCAAATGCTGCCTCCCCTCATCGTGCAGCCGCCTGGGCTCCAACAGCCATAAAGGGGCCAGCACAATGCTGCTGGCTGTATAATGGAGAAATAAAAATGCAAGCAAAATAATTTTTTTTAAGAGTAGGAAGGAGCATGTAGGCAGGATGAGGGAAGAGAAATGGAGATGATATAGCAATTTTATTTGTTTAGGGATCTGAGTGAATGGACAGTGAAGAGGTAAGACAAAGTCTACTGAATCTATGACTAAGACAGACAAGGTTACTAGACAATATCATGCTTCTGTCCCTTTAAAAGGAGGAGGTGAACAGATAAGCAGCAGAATGGTACCCTCAGAAATCCCTTTGAGGGGCTGGGAAGGTGGCTCAATGGTAGAGTGCTTGCCTTGTATGCATGAGGCCCTGGGTTCGATTCCTCAGCACCACATAAGCAGAAAAAGTTGGAAGTGGCACTGTGGCTCAAGTGGTAGAGTGCTAGCCTTAAGCTGAAGAACTGAGGGCAGTGCCCAGGCCCAGAGTACAGACTCCACGACCGACCTCCCCCCAAAAAAAATCCCTTTGAGGCTACTGGTCATGTTTCTTCATTAAAACATGCCTGCATCATAGAACAGCCTTAATGCTGCAAGCTTTCCACAGCTCCTTCACCACGAGGCTCTGAAATGTGGTCCTATGTCAAAATTTTTGATTCTAAAATAAAGACTGTTAGTCCCATTTTTGCTTTCTTCATTAGAAACATACTTAACACTAAACACTATACCTCTAATCCTCTTTTCCACAGCTCTTCTGTAAAACAAATACACAGGAGCCAGCATCATTTCAGCTTCCATCCAGTCAGGAAAACACCACCAAACTGTCTTAGCTCCTTTATTTTATGTGAAAGTAGCCAAATCCTTCCAGGTGAGGCATATAGGCCAATTACTAGTATGAGGAGTGGCTGAGTGCTGATGGCTAATGCCTATAATCCCAGTTATTTAGAAGGCTGAGAGCTAAGGATCAAAGTTTGAAGCCAGCATGGACTTATCTCCAAGTAATCACCAAATATCTGGAAGTGGAGCTGTGGCTCAAGTGGTAGAACACTAAGCAAGTTCATGGAGAGTACCCAGACCCTGAGGAATTCAATCCTCATATGGGCACAAAATGAAAGTATAAAGAGCTAAGAAGTCAGACAGTCAAAAGAAGGCTTACTCTATTTTTTTTCAGATGGATCTAGGACAAAGTAAAATATAGTATGCAAAAGTTTAGCCCTAAACCATAGTTTTCTCTGATGTTGTAAATCCCATGCATCAATGTTTTCACAGTTTCAGATTCTCCCAACAGGAATGGAGTTGGGTCAAGAAAATTGTCTGTTAAGCAGAGGTATATCTGTAGGTTAAACAAGTCATTTTATAGGATCTGGGGTTACCAGGTATTTGATTAAAGGAAATAAACAATGGCGGAAACAACATAATTTCATGATGGATATGGAGAGTAGTAGATTAAACAAGCTTGTAGGCACTGATAATCTTACATACAATAATAATCTTTAAAAAATGTGCTCATTGGTACTTCAGGGAAATTGAAGGTAGCTTGAAAGAAATTTATACAAATGTTCTGGAACTTAGAAGAATAACCTGAGTTCAAACCCCAAAACTGCAGAGGAGTTCCTCCTCTGCAGTTTTGGGGTTTGAACTCAGGGCCTTGAGCTTGCTAGGAAGATACTCTCTTAGTAATGCACTGCACTTCCAGGCATGTACCAGGGCCTGGATGCAATCCACCTATGGTAGTTAGGCTTTCGGGTGGGTGTGACTTCATCCAGCTCTTTGTTGAGGGTGTGGAATTGGTCTCACGAACATTTTTCTTACTGGGCTGACCTTGAACCATGATCCTAACAATCTGCATCAAGTTGTTAAGATTAGAAGGTATGAGTCACCAGTGCCTGACTAGAAAATTTACTCAAGCAAGACATCCTTCTCTATTAATGAAATCTAGTTTAAACATGAGCTGAGAGAAAGATTCAAAATCTTATGTGTTTATGTGTATGCTATAGCTAGAAACCAGGACCCTGTGTATTTTTGTAAGTACTCTTACCACTGAGTTATATCCTGCAATTTTCTGTTCAGTATTTTAAAAGGCATTTCCTCCCATTGGCTACAACTTTGCTGCATAGACTTGATTTGTCTTATCTCTCTTCTAGTTCTTGTTCCTTCTAGTTGCTTGTCCCTATCCCTAGCCTCCATGCTACCTTTGAGCTATTTACTTTTTTCAAATAAAAAGTTGGGGCCTAGCTGGTATGTTGGAGTAAGCCTATATTCTAATACTTTGAGGGCTGAGACAGGAGAACCTTGAGCTCTAGGCCAGCCTGGGATATACAGAAAGGCCCTGTCTCAAAAGAAAAATGTAGAGACCTGAAGAGAATTGTGGTGACTAAAATGATCTTGCTGAGTGCTGGTGGCTCACACCTGTAATCCTAGCTGCTCAGGAGGCTTAGTTCTGAGGACTGTGATTTGAAGCCAGCCTGGGCAGAAAAATCCCAATAAATATCTCCAATAAGCTACTCAAAAAAGCTGGAAGTGGCACTATGGCTAAAGTGGTAGAGTACTAGCTTGAACACAAAGAAGCTCAGACAGTGCCCAGGACTGAGTTCAAGCCCCAGGACTGGCAAAATTTACAATCAAATAAAAATGATCTCCTACCCACCAACACCTTAGAGGGTTTTATAAGTGTAAACACAGATAGGGAAAAAAATACATGTTTATTTTAGCTGGGTGCTGGTAGCTCACACCTGTAATCCCAGCTTCTCAGGAGGGCTGAGATATGAAGATCGGGCAGGTAAGTCCATGAAATGCTTGACTCTAACCACTAAAATACCAGAAGTAGAGCTGTGGCTCAAGTGACAGAGTACTACCCTTGAGTGTAAAAGTTCAGGGACAGTGCCCAGGACCTAAGTTTAAGCCCCAAGATTAGCACCCTCCCCCCCAAAAAAAAGAACTTTTGTTTTCATACATATTTGATAGTTGTAAAATGATAGCTTCTTTCATAATCCATTTTATTATTTTATTTTTTGAGACAAGGTCTCACTGTGTAGTGCAGACTGGTCTCCAACACAGTATGTAACTTAGGCTGGCTGTGAACTCCCTATGAACCTATCTCAGCTTCTCCAGTAGAGAGGTATGAGCTACCATGCTCAGCTAAATGGGAATGGGGTAATGCCTGTGTGTGTGTGTGTGTGTGTGTGTGTGTGTGTGTGTGTGTGTGTGTGTATGTGTGTGTGTGTGTATGTGTTTGAGCTACCATGCTCAGCTAAATGAGGTAATGCCTGTGTGTGTGTGTGTGTGTGTGTGTGTGTGTTGCTAAGGACTGAACCCCAGAGCCTTATGCACAGTGTGTATGTGTGTGTGTGTGTTGCTAAGGACTGAACCCCAGAGCCTTATGCACAGTGTGTGTGTGTGTGTTGCTAAGGACTGAACCCCAGAGCCTTATGCACAGTAGGAAAGAGCCACACATCTAGCCTTCAATGTATTTTGTTAGGTAAATTAAATAGGCAGTTGAGTGGTATTCAGACAAGGGAAAGATTTATTTTCGAGCTGCAGGGCTGCAGGCTGCCTCTGGTCAAATTGGAAGCCCATGCAACAGGGATAAAAAGGGTCCAATCACGACTTACCAAGACCAGGGACGGGAGAAGGTATGGCCACACCGGGTGCTGATGTGACCTCAGGGAGGGGGGGAGGTGACAGCCTCCAAGCGTGCTAGTTACCTAGGTGACACAGGTACTGGGTGGAGACTTAACCAAGAGGAGCGAGGAGTCTGCTCCACCTTCCAAGGGCGGACCTTACATATTTTATTTCATTTATAATTTTAAAACATTATGCTCTGTTAATGGTTGGGGTATGAAGTACAAAAGGTTTGTGAGGCTTGGTGCCTACTTGGGGGATCAAATCATTGAGAGGTGACTTGATCACGAGGGCTCTGACCTAACTAACCATGGATTTTTAATGCCATGGCTTAGGGGGACGTGATGAAAACTTTCAGCATTGGGGCCTGGTTTGATAAAGTAGGTTACTTTGGAAAATGTTTTTGGGAGCTGTACCTTGGCCTGGATCCCTCTCTCTGCTTTTCAGCTGTCATGAAGTGAGTAGCTCAACCCACTAGGGCCTACACTCTGCCTTCTCTGCCATAATCTGCCTCACTACAGGCCCACAAAAATGGAGTCAGCTAAGCATGCATCGAAACTATGAACCAAAATAACTCTGCCTTCTTTTAAACTGTTAATCTCAGGTATTTGTCACAATAACAAAACAAAACAAACTAAATGTACTTTTCGAAAAGATTCACTGACTACAGCAAACCATCAAAGGGTTTTTAATGGCATCAAAGAAATGAAG